AAATTTTAAATTGGAATGATGGGAAAGGATTTGGAAATAAAAATTTAAATAAGGATACCAAAAAAATTAAATAAATAATAATTTTTTTTAAAAATCGAAATAAAAAATCAATGGAAAATTAAGTTAATCATTTATTGTGGCAGACAACTCATTTAAAAAAAATATTGTAAAATAAAAAAAAATTATATTGTAAAAAAAATTTAAAATTTGGAAATAAATTAAATGAAAAATTATGTTAACAATTTTTGGTGGCAGATAACTCATTCAATGTCCCACTGCATACTACATTGGAATTTTCAAATTAATAATAACTCAACCCTTCTAAATTTTGAATTTATGTTTAAATTTGAATTTTTAACTTTGTAATGATGGGAAAACTTTTAGAACATTTTTTGTGGTAGACAACTCATTTAATGTCCAATACTTTTCTTTTGTTGTATATTATGAGTAAAAAGACCTCTACTTTTCTTTTGTTACATATCCCACTATTTTTTGCATAGATAATTGTTAGCCCTATTAATGCTGCATAAAAAGACAAAAACATTAAAAAATTGTAAAATAACAAAATTATCTATATTGTGAAATAAATTTGAAATTTGGAAATAAATTAAATGAAAAATTATGTGAACTTGATATATGAGAAAAGAGTTCAACATTTAATATTTATGCAGTGAAAAAAGATATATATAATAAATTTGAATTTATTATAAAATAATAGATTAAACAATAAAATATTTAAAATTATAAAAATACATTTATAGTCGATAAAAATTATTTAAAATTTCAAAGTTAAAAGGAAAAATAACAAATGGCATAATTTATACTTTACAAAAAATAAATTAAAATTTTAACATAAAATTTTTAAATATACATGTATAACCAATTAAAATAATATACATGTATGTTTTAAAAAAATATTTAACATAAAATTTTTAAATATACATGTATAACCAATTAAAAAAATATCTAAAAATCATAAATTAAAAAAGATAAAAATTATATAAAAAAATATGTATAATTAATATAAAAATTTATAAATTTTAAATTTAAATAAAAAAGACGTCTGTCATTATGTAAAAAATATTTATTAAAATTTAAGAACTATAAAATGAAAATTTTAATTTAGTACATAAGAAAGAAATTAAGCTTTCATTTTTTTTATTGAAAGAGTGTAATTAACACAAATACTTGCAAAAAATAATTATTTATATAAAATACTGACAGTTACAGGTGAAAAACTGAGCTCGGCCCAGAGGGCCGGCCCACCAATATATTTTTATAATTCAATGGAAATTTTATCTTTCTTCTTTTATAATTAAATTTCTAAATCTGATTTCAATTTTTGTAAATACAAATTTGTGAAATTCCAAAGACTAAAAGCGCTAATCCTTGCAAAAAAAACTTATTTATATAAAATGCTGACAGTTAGAGGTGGAAAACTGGGCTCGGCCCGGAGGCCCGCTAATATATTTTTATAATTCAACTAAAATTTTATCCTTCTTCTTTTATAATTAAATTGCTAAATCTGATTGTAATAAATGAAAGTTCATCTCTGAGATAAAATATAAAAACCTAGACGCAACTATAAGAGCCCTTTTTTTTGGATAAATATAAAAACATATTACATGCTGATAGTTAGAGGTGACAAACTGGGTTCGACCCTGAGGGCCAGCCCACTAACATATTTGTATAATTAAATTAAAATTCAACTATTCTTCTTTTATAATTAAATTCCTAAATCTAATTTTAATTTTTTTAAATATAAATTTTTAAAATTTCAAATACTAATGATACAAATACTTGCAAAAAATAATTATTTATTATTATTTTGTAAATGTGAGTGTAATAAATGAAAGTCCATCTCTCAGATAAAATATAAAAAATCTCAATGCAACTATAAGGACCTTTTTTTGTGGATAAGTACAAAAACTTATTACATGCTGATAGTTAGAGGTGGCAAACTAGGCTCGGCCCGGAGGGCCGGCCCACCAACTTATTTTTATAATTAAATTAAAATTTCATACTTCTTCTTTTATAATTAAATTCATAAATCTGATTTCAAATTTTGTAAATGCAAATTTGTAAAATTCAAAATACTAAGGACACCAATCCTTGCAAAAACATAATTATATACATAAAATTCTGATAGTTAAAGGTTAAAAACTGGGCCAGTCCCGGAGGGCCTGCACGACCCGCCTGCCAACACATTCTTATAATTAAATTAAAATTTCATCCTTCTTCCTTTTTAATTAAATTCCTAAATCTGATTTTAATTTTTATAAATATAAATTTGTAAAATTTAAGATACTAACGGCACAAATTCTTGCAAAAAATAATTATTTATTATTATTTTATAAATCTGAGTGTAATAAATGAAAGTCAATCTCTGAGAAATACTGAAAGAAGCCGAGTCAAACTTTGTAATTTTTGAGTGACCTCAAGACTAGCTAAAGTATAGCGATATATTTTGGAATGACCATAAGATAAATATAGAAATCCATTACATACTGATATAAAATGCTAATAGTTAGAAGTGACAAAATGGGCTCGGCCCAAAGAGCCAACCCACCACGCGAAACAAACTGATTTTTTTTCGCGTACATCACCACGGGTAATACACTAGTTCTTTAAAAGAGGACATCAACCGTACCCTTTTTAATTTATATTAAAAGAAATGGCAGCCACTAACTCTATGCCCAAAACCAAACAAAGTGATAAGAATCAAAAGACTTGGTTCCATCAGAGTGCACAGAAACAGTACTAGTGAGGGTCCGTACTCTCTTGTTTTACTATCCCACACTGTAAGGGTGGCTTTTGTTTTTTATTACAACCGTTGGATGGATTATCGCTTTCGTTCCGAGTACAAAGAATCAGATACCCATATACTACTCTTGGGAACCATGCACGAATTGAACGGTGAACATTTTGTCAAATGATAAAAGGTATAAATGAAATTTTGAATGGAAACAAAGATACGGAAAAATGAGCGATGGGTGGCATTTACAAGTTATGTCAAGCAGTCAAAGAAAGGATTCTTCAGCAAAAAGGATCGGATGATTTTGCGTGTAATGTTTTTTTATCGGATGACTTCTGAAATTAATTTAAGAGTAAACATCTTTTTTGGTATCTGAGAATATAATATTTACGAAATTATTTTTAGTTCCTGACAATAAAAAAAGATCAAATTAGTCTCTAAAATTATGAAAAAAGGGCCACGTTAGTCCTTATGTCAACTCCTCCGTCACTAATGTGGCCCTTTTTACATACTGGTAGGGACCAATTTGGTCCTTTTTTATTGTCAGGGACTAAAAATGATTTCGTAGATATTGCCAGGGACAAAAAATGTGTTTACTCTTAATTTAAATAATATATCAATCTTGATCCAAAGGTTCCCTCCCCCTCCCCCCAATTTCAAAAAGGGTCCCAAGATGTGGGAAAGGGAAAGATATACATGGGTTCAATTCAACAATAGAACCTTTGAATGATCAATGGAAGCACAATTTCCTTTATTCTATTTAGACCTTGACCCAAAAGAAAATAACAGCCAAGAATAAAATGCAACAACTTAACGAGCTTTGTTGTTAACAAAGCATATTCCGTATGCATGGTATATAATATTCAATGTTGAATCCCGATGTAGCTCCCCAGATGCATCCTATATATATCAAAACTCCGACCGAAATCATTGTATGATTTCTTTTTCTACAAGTTGTTGCGCAAACCTCGAAACTATTTGATGTTGGCGTGAAGTTGTCATTAGCCGACTAAGTCATTTAACTTAGGTTAAATAGTAAATGCAGGTGAAGAGATGAATTTCAAATGAATTAAAGATTCAAGTATCATCGAAGGATATATATATATATATATATATATATATATATATATATATATATATATATATATATGAGAAAAAGAAAAATAATGTTATAAGAAAATTGTTAATTTATGTTGTAGAGATAGGGATTGGGGACCCACACTTGTTTTCAAAAAAACATTAACAAAAACAAGTGTGGGTCTCACAATCTCTATCTCTACAACATAACCTAACAACTTTCATACAACATTATACTTTTATTTTCCTATATATATATATATATATATATATATATATATATATATATATATATACAATATTTAATTCAAGGAAAAAAGATCATATATATATGGCTTATCGTTTCTCAAGCTGCTTGAGATAATCTTATCTCCGTCTACTAAATCATAACCGTACAAAGATATATCAATGGTGATAAAGAAAGAGAGAGAAAAGAGAATCATAACCATTCAAAAGTGAATCAATTGATATAAGGAAATAAATAAATAAATCGACGTAGTTTTGGGTAGCCAGAGATAAATTTATCTCAAGCTGCTTGAGAAATATTTTTCCTATTTATATATATATAGAGAGAGAAAGAAGGGGTTATATTTGCAAGATCATTCCTCTTACAACTTATTTTCTCTTACAATTATTATTCAAACAAAGAAGGAGAACAATGGGTGGACCGATATTTGTTAGATAAAGTGATCCATACAAAATGATACAAAAAAACATGGGCTTCTAGACAGGCCCATCAGGCAACAAAGAAAAACCGATCAAGTATTTGTTTGTTTTTATATCTGAGGGATCGTTATCTAGTGCAGCGTATCCATCTTATACCTGTACTGCATTAATTGATCGAACGATTAGAATTGAATGAGTGTTCTGGACAGCATGATGGGCTACTCGAAAGGCCTGTCATAAACTGATCAAATATTTGCCGTTATGATTGATACAAAATGATTCAAGAAAACATGGGCTCCTGGACAGGTCCATCAAGCAACAAACATGGGCTCTTGGTCATTAACTAGTGCAATGGATTCATTGATCGAACGATTAGAGTTGAATGAGTATGCATAACCGTTTGATCTGTATAATTTAAAAGATCACGAGGGCAGCGCTCGGAACAACCCATATAACTACATTTTGTGCATCGCTCCCTCTCACTTTTTTTGCCGCTCAAATTTTCTCTTGCTTCGTTTGTAGCTTCAACTGAGAGAGAACGACCAAGTGAACCTTGCACTCTTCTCTAATCGGAGCACCTCTGAAGTAATTGCAATTTCTTCCCTGTATTGTAATCTGAAGTTTTGCTTGTTTACTGAGAAATTGCGAACGATCAAAGAAAGTTCGTAATCATTGTATTGTATGTTTCTCACGAATGCATTGCTCGCAAAGATTGACGAAATTTATATTTTACTTCGTTTCTCGCAGATATGAATATGATATTCGAATCTTACTTTCTTTCTCTCTCTATTCGATGGGTAAAATACTGAAATGCCAGTGCTTAGGGTTTATACATGATATAAGTATACGATTTGCCAGAAATGCATCATTATTTTTTCTTGCATTTCATTTTCTATTGCATTTTTTTTTTCAAGTATTGTTTCAGGTTCATACGTGAAATGTTAATGAATCTAAACCATATAAACTGGAGGATAATGTAAGTAACTATACCATAATATGTTGGAATGGAAAATGAGTAGCAAATATAAGTAATTAAGGTCTGGTTTTCTTTATTCTTGAGATTTCGTATTCTAGCATGTCAATGATAAGTCAGTGACCGTGATGTATAAATGTCGACGCCGAACTTCTTGCATTGTGGTACCAAGAATTATTGCCATTATATTATGGATTTGTTTAGAGAGTTATCAAAATTATCTTATTATATATTTTGACTTGTGATTGCTGTCTGACTTCCATCTATTGACTGCAGCTGCAGTCATGGATACTGATGAGGAGTGTTCAATTGTTCTTGAGCTATCTGAAAATGATCCTTTCTTTGATGAAAAGAAGGTAAAAATCAGATAATTGAGTTCATTTAATGTTGCTCAAGTTTTTTTTTTTTGTTTTTTAAATCTCTGTAGCTAAATTTTCTCTGTTATAAAATTTCCTTAATCAAGAAGGATTAAAGCCTTTGATTTGATATGATTAAAGGAAATATATATTCCTAACAGGAAATTCTATAATTGTTTCTCATTGAGAAATTTCAGATTTGTTAAAACTAAATGACAAATGGAAGCAAAATACACCATATTAAGTTATAATATATGTAAATTTTATAGGCAATATAATTTCACAGCAATTAAGCTATGGTAATATATGCCTCTGGTTTATCATTTCTTGGGGATTTCCTTAATTGCTTATGATTTTATTGAGTTTGAGTCCTTAGCCATTTCTCCTATTTTGACTAACTGCTATTTTATAGAAATTACTACAAAGTCAGGGTTTTAGTCCCAAGGAACGGATATATCTCAGGAGCTCCTCAAAACCTGGTTGGATGAGTGATACTGTAAAGGTGTTGCTTCAGATTGCACGAATCATACAGTTAAATGAGGTTACTTCCTTTTCTGCTCTGTGAAGTTCTCAGTCACTCAGTTTATCGCTCTAAAAACAAACTAGAGTTAGGGGATTTAGGTAGTCTTTGGGTTTCTTACACACCTTTGTGTTAAAATATTCTCTTTACACTTCCACGAATATATAATCAGGGTATCTTCCTGTTCTATTTAACAAAGAAAACTGAAATGTATTTTGCCATGATTGTTTTTCATCTTTTTTTTATACTCTTTCACTTTTGCGACATCATCAACTCATGAATTAACTTATTTACCAAGCTGCAGCTGGAACTTTATTTTGCTGAAGACGATGCATGCACATCAGTGGAGATTTACAGCCCCAGGAATGAGTTGGAGGCTCTCAATTCAATTGTTTTGCTTACCGACATGTCACTTTCTAGCTGTACACATCTCGATACAAATATCCTGCAAAGGTTACGGGAAACGATTATCGATTTTATTTCTGATTTTGGGGACAAGAACAGTGTGAAGGGAGTAATTGACAGAGATCGCAGTTGTTACCAAGAAGAGCGCCTGATAGAATGGGGTGAAAGCAATGGTGTAAAAACAGAGATAAAGATAGCTTGTAAATTTTATTATGTTTTTGTATTTTTTTACATTTGCTTTTTCATTCATTGGTTTCTAGAGGATGATTTTATTTCCTTTGCACATATATTGTTTATTTTAAGACACTTAATACGAGTTTCCCCCCCCTTAATCCACGCAGATGTTGAAGGAGAGGGTAGAGGTGCGATAGCAAGGAAAGATCTAAAAGTTGGGGACATTGCTTTAGAAATTCCATTGTCCATTATAATTTCTGAGGAGCTTGTGCATGAAACCGATATGGTACATTTACTTGTTCAAATAAAAAGTAAAATTAGTTTACTTATAACTTCTTTACGAAGCCTAGAATAGACTATCATTCATTCCAAAAACTATTGAACAATAATATAGTACATGTAAATATTATCTTTACATCCTTTACATTCAACATGGTGATAAGAAATACCCATTTTATACCTGCGCTTCATCTATCTTTTGTTTTGCAAAAATAATGTCATCTAGGATGCTAGTTAACATGTCCTTCCTTACCAATTGGGAGCAACCTCTCTCTCTCTCTCTCTTTGTTGGGAAAACTTACAACATAGTTGGATATTGATCCATTCTAGGTGACATTATTTCTTAAAATAAATAGAAAAGGAGAAACGTTATGTGTTCACCACTCCCTTATGTTCTTAATAACTGATAATTGTCCTTCTTATCCAATTCAGTATCGTGTCTTAAAAGAAGTTGATGGCATATCATCCGAGACAATATTGCTATTATGGAGTATGAAAGAGAAGTACAACTGTGATTCAAAATTCAAAATTTACTTTGACACACTCCCCGAAAAATTTAATACAGGTAATGTTACTTGACTATGACATGCTTTATACTCGCACATAGATATAAATTTTGTACAGATCCCCAAAATTGCAAGTCACTGTACTGTGCTCAACCTTTATACTTAAGGTGCTTTTCTTAGGCTCTGAACAATACCTGCAAATAGTAACTCTAATAATTCAAAAGACATCTCATTATAAAGGTTATATAGGGTGATTACTCTATCTGTATCTTGAATTTCCCTGTTGTCAGTTTCATTAGTAACCATATTAAAGTGTTTTGAGTAATAGTTTTGCAAGGGTAAGATACCTTAGGTGTCCCTTTTATTTTCCATTTTAAGAGGCATATACCCCTTTAGTTCTAGGTTGTAGCTTTTGTCCCTGTTTATTGATCTCTTTGTTTAATAGCTGCTTGCTTGCCTATTCATCCTCTTTAGAAACCAGTGGGAGTCCAGCTCTATAGGTTCTCTATTTTTTTCTCGGTATCAGGTAGGAAACACTTCCAACACTTATTTTTCATATCCTTTTAGCTGGTTTATGTGTGAATAGCCAATTTGGTGGTTTCACTTTTGCTTCTTTTATGTGATTGAAGAAAAAACTTGGCAAGACTATAATCAATTAAATTACAATTGTGCAAGGACAATTCTCTCATGAACTCAATATTTTAGGGATATTAAGTATCTAACTTTCTTCTACCTTCTTTCTAATGTAGTAGTTCTGGTTTGGTAATGCTATAAACATCCTAGTCAAAATTTATCTGCTTGCTACATGCTGGCATAGTGGCATGTTGCATCGAAATTTTTAGCTTGATGCACTAAGAGGATATTATAACAAAACAATCGTATGATTAATGTCATTATTGACACTCTGTTAAGATCAAAAGGATTATGGTTAATATAGTGAAAAAAAGGGTCATGCTTATTCGATGAGATGCTAACTTCATTACAGGTTTAAGGAAGTTTTGACTGGCAAAGATATAAAATTATATTCACCGTCTGCAAATGGAAGAACTATGGGATAATTGAAGTATAAGGTTATGATGAGATTGTGATGGGCCTCAACCATATAGCCCTTCAAGGAGGTCTATCATAGAAAGAGGAAAGTCCAAGTAGTAAATAAGGAGCTGATGGCAAGAGAGTTAGGGGGGGAGTTAGTTATAAAAGATGCCACGTGGCAAGCCATGAATGGAGAGGAAAATATGCAAAGTGGTGGGAAAGAATGTTCAGGAAGAAAAGGGGAAATATAAGGTAGTTGGGGTCATGAGAGAAGGTATGCAGAAAATTACACCGAGTATGGGTTGGTTTGGCAACTGAGTGTGGTGCTTGGTAACTAGGTTAATTGGGGGTATCTTTTGTATTGCTGAGAAGACAGGTAGCCATTAGGCTAAGGCTTGTTCTTCTTAATTGAGTCTTGTGTTGATTTCCTTTGGTTCTGTTAATTCTGAAATACTGTAGTTGCAAGGAGATAGTCTCCTCTGTTCTGATTTTAGTCCATAAATTATATTCTGTTCACTTGTTGTTACAGTAACATCAGATCGAGATTTGTATTTGATGATATTGTCTCTATTAACTAGTTTGTCTATTAGTAGTGATCTGATTGTCTGGCATGCCCTTCTCCTTAATGATGTCACATTGTAAATATAGTTATTGATAGGCTTCATTTTTTTAAGTGGCCTTGATGAATAATTTGTTAATTACCTTTTTTGGCTTTATCATGTTGTTTTGTGAAAACTATGTCGGATTTTCTTGCAACCGCATGTTGCGGCTCTAGATTCTTTAGAACTTGATACTTGCAAAATAGTAAGGAAGAATGAATGAAAAATTGGGCATGGAAGAAAAAGATCTGTTTATTGATGAGAAAAACAAATGAACACACAAGAGACACCTCTCTTGCCAAGGGGCACTTCCCTTCAAGTAAACACTCTCAGCCTAATCCAGTACTTGTCAAAAGCCACTTCTCAAGACTCAAGAGGGATATATCCCGTGATGTACATGCAATTGGACTATTATGATAGGTCTTCTATTAACTAACCGCTCGGATTAGCTTACTAACTAACTAGTCTCGGCTCCTAATTAAAGCCTTCAATTAATCCAACTGAATACCTCAACTTCTGCCTTCTGTTATTACTTTTCCCTTGTATTTCTGTCTGTAACACCATTGAGTTCACTAAATGATAGATCAAGAGCAAGGTTGCAACCAGATACCTAGACTAATTATATGAGCTTAGGTGAATAAAGATGTAACATTAATGTATATATGCATATAGCATATATATGCTTGATACGTGATACATGTTGCACGATACGATTTGATTCATAACATAAACAATCAACATCAACAACACCTTTATCCCAAATTAATTGAGGTCGGTGGTAAATGAACCCACATGAAAAATACAAAACGGTTGTAAAAAAAAAAAAAGTAATAATATATATATATATATATATATATGTATATATAAATAAATAAAAGTAAAAAAGAAAGGAAAAAGAAGAAGTGGGGGAATGAAGGGGAAAAAGGCTAAAAAGGGACCATCTGGAACATAGGAATAACAATGGGTCTAACCCTCCACCAGACTTATAGCTTTTCTCCATTCCGTTCTAAGACATACTGTCTGCCAATCTATATTCCATTCCATTAAATCTTGTTTTACTATCTTTCCCCAAGTCAGTTTCGGCCTACCTCTGCATCTTTTTGTGTTGAGCTCTTGGTAACAAACTTTTGTTCTTACAGGAGCATCCAGGGGCCTTCTCATCACGTGCCCAAACCACCTCAATCTATGTTCTCTCATCTTCTCGGCTACCGGTACTACTCCTACCTTTCGTCGAAATCTTCATTTCTTATCTTATCCATCCTTGTATAACCACACATCCACCTTAACATCCTCATCTCTGCTACTCCCACCTTATGCTCATGTTGCCTATGTGCTGGCCAGCATTCCGCTCCATATAGCATTGCCAGTCTTACTGTTGTTTTATAAAATTTTCCTTTTAATTTAAGGGGGATTTTGCGGTCACACAAAAACCCAGATGCACTGCGCCATTTCATCCACCCTGCTCTAATTCTATGATTTACATCCTCATCAATCTCTCCACCTTTTTGCAAAATGGAGCCCAGGTATTTAAAAGCATCTTTTTTGGGGACCTCTTGACCACTTAGATGCACGGGATCTTGGTCCCCATCTCGTACCAGAGAAAACTCACACTTCAGGTACTCCTTCTTACTTCGATTTAATGTGAACCCTTTGGATTCCAACGTGCTTCTCCACAATTCAAGTTTTCTATTAACACCCTCCTTGCTCTCATCAATAAGCACAATATCGTCTGCAAAAAGCATACACCATGGCACTTCCTCTTGAATATCTTTTGTTAGTTCATCCATAACTAAGGCAAAGAGATAAGGACTTAGAGCCGACCCTTGGTGTACGCCTACCGTGATAGGAAAATAGCTTGATGTTCCATTACAAGCTTTTACACATGTAGTAGCCCCATCATACATATCCTTGATTGCCATTACATACTTTGATGAGACCTTTTTCTTCTCCGGAACCCACCATAAAACTTTCCTTGAAACCCTATCGTATGCTTTCTCAAGGTCTATGAACACCATATGCAAGTCCTTCTTCTTTTCTCGGTATCTTTCCATTAGTTGTCGCATCAAGAAAATGGCTTCCATGGTAACATAAACAATATAAAAATACAACATAAAAATGTGTATTGGAGCAGACCATGAATCGCTCATAGAATTGCCGAATCGCACGATTCCGTTGCTATCGTGAATCGTATCAGGATTTTAGATTCAAAATCCAATATGATTTTGGAAAAAGAAAGACCAAGAATTGAGGATTCAAATCATAGAGAATCTGGAAATTCGTTTAACGGAAGATTAGGGTTTTTCCAAAATCCCAATTCCCAACCAAATCCAAATTAAAAAGATCCCAATTTGATTTCTTTTTCTTTCTCATCTTGACTCTGGAACATTTGTTCTTTGATCCTTCTTAATTCTCTTTTTCTCTTCTTTCGTTCAAGCCAGAAACACATAAGAACTAAAAACAAAGACGCTCGATACCCAAAAGCCGGTTTTAAATTTGGTTACTTATTTATTTTTCGATTTTTATTTTTTTGGAATATGGATTTATATGATATTATATATTTTAAAGTCACTTTTTATTATGTTTCTGAATCTTACGATTCGATTCGATTCACAATACAAAATTGCAGCCAATGATTCAAGATACGTATTGTGATTAAAAAAGCTTGATGGAAATCACTGTCCACCGTGACCTTTAGTATTTTCTTTCCTCCGCTTTTCCAAATAGCTTTAATATTTTACTTCACAGGATTGAGTTTTGGCTTTGAAGCAATTACAATGTTAGATGGAACCTTGCTGTTGGAAGAGATAATACATGCAAGACAGGTAATCAGTTCTTCTAAGGTTCTGACCTGTTTATTGATCAGCTTGTTTTTAGACTTCGGTTCTTCCTTCCTTTGAGTTGTACTAAAACTATTAAACTACACTTATTAGTTTATTCAAGATTTAACTTATTGATGTTGTTAATGAGTGTCAATGTGTACCTGTCCTTGCTAAGGATGATTTTAAATTTCAAGACAAAATGAGCCATAATGGAAATGACCCCTGAAAAACATAGCTTGTTCAAATTACGGTTCATTTAAGGATTCCCTTGCTGCTTGACTATTATTGCCGGTACTGTATCCATTCATTTGCAAAATAATCTCCTTCAACGTCTTTTTTGAGTTTTTCATAATTTTCTCTTCTTTTTTGCTTTTCTGGGAGGAAGGGGTATTAAAGCTTAAAACAACATTAACTAATGTATTAATCCAGGTGATGGTGGCACGTCTCAAAGTCATTTCTGTGATCTAAACTATAGTGCATTGAGATTTGTGTCAAAACAGGTGTTTGCCAAATGGGTAGTTCATTTCAATTCCTTTGTTACGTGGACTGGACATTAAACTGCTATTTGCATGTGGTATTGAAGGGGCAGGTGATACGGGTTTAGAAAATCCAATGATCCAAATATATATGCATGGGTTTCAATTTGCAGAACAGCTTCCAATCTATAAGTCAAAATCTTCTCTGGCAGTCTGTCTGAGACCTGATAATTATTCATGTTGTAGAAATGCAACTGCTTTTGGTTCTTGAAAAGCAAATTTGAAACTGCCAGGAAGCTTATTGTTCTTGAAAGAAATATGTAGTATACAGGATGAGATTGAACAGCACTCACATCTCTATTCTTTCATGAAGTTTTGATCATTAGGAAATGATAGTTTTCTATTTTTGATACACACGTATATTACTGGTTAAACATACTTCTGTTCTATGTATTCACTATTTACTGCTAAACATTGCCCACAAGTAAAAAATGACATTTTCTTTGTTCTTTCTTTTTGTGGCAGCACCTGCATGCTCAATATGCTGAGTTGTTCCCCACTCTGAGCAATGATTTTCCTGATATATTTCCACCAGAGCTGTACACATGGGATAAATTTTTTTGGGCTTGTGAACTTTGGTACTCCAATAGCATGCAGATAATGTATTCCGATGGAAAGCTGAGAACATGCTTGATCCCGATTGCTGGCTTTCTTAATCATTCAGTATGTAAATTCCCTCTTTCTCATGTTTTCTCTCCCTTCTCCCTCTTTCTTTTTGAATATTTTGATAAAAAAAGTCTTCAAATATTGTGCATTGATCACTGAATTCAATGAGGAAACTAGAGGTAATGGAATTTCAAAATACAAGGGCTGTCTATTATCTTGTTAAGAATAGCATATTCTTCTGGAACAGGGCTGGCAGTTCTTTAATCCTAGCTGGCTTTTTTGCTAATTTAGAATTGAGATCATTACTTCGAGTTGATGATACCCATCCTTGGTGTGCTCTTCAATCTGTATCTGGATTAGCATTTCTTTGATATAAACCATGATGTCTGACAATTATATATACTTTCCTCTGGGTTGTAATATTGTTTATTATTATATACACAATTTGCTTTCCTTGTTCAGGAAATACCCAGATTTTGCGAAGCAACACTTCGAGACCTATAAATGTTTCTCTTATTTCTGTTTTGGTTCCTGACAACAGCTATGCCCACATGTTATGCACTATGGCAAAGTAGATACTGCAACAGATTCATTGAAATTTTGTCTATCAAGACCATGCAGATCTGGAGAAGAATGCTACTTAAGCTACGGAAACTTCCCGAGTTGTCATCTAATTACCTTTTATGGTTTCTCACCCCAAGGAGACAACCCATATGATTTCATTCCATTAGGTAACATTATTGCTGCACCTTTTGTTGTCAGTCTGCTGAGCTAGTGCTGTCTGTCAGATAGATATCCTAATTGTCATTTGCAGAGATTGGTGGTTCTGGTCTCGATTCTATTGAGGATACACCCGTGTCCAACGTGACGGCTCACATGGTGCGAGGTACTTGGCTCTCCAACAATCACAGCATATTCTATTATGGCCTTCCTTCTTCATTATTGGATCATCTTCGGAGATCTCGAAATCCCATGCTGCAAACTAAGACTTTCGTACTGTTCTTCTCCTTCCAATCTCAACTTTATCTTGTTTTCGTACTTTCCTTTTTTGGGTGTCGCCTTCTGCTGTCGTGAATTTTACCCAAGTTTCTTATGCAATGCAAAGTTTGACGAAAAAAAAACGTTTCATTACCCCTTACTCTCTACTCGAATGCATTTGATATTTTTAGGCAAAATTCAAGTACGCTATTTTGAAATTCGTACTATATAGTTTAAATATTTCACAGTCATCAAATTTTACTGATTAACCTTTTAATTTACAGTATCATTTTTCTTTTTCAGTTGCAAGGAAACTTGGAAAATGAGGTGGAAATTCTTGAGAATCTTATATATATCTTTGATGACATGATGGTCATTATGGGTGAGATCGATCTTGATAACAGGTAAAGGCCTTACTTATTCCGTCGAAAGAAATTTTGAAGTTTCTTCTGAAAACATTTAATTTTTTCCGTATCAGAGAAAGCTGCAATTGGGATAAAAAGTTGGCTATGGATTTTCGTAGTCTACAAAGACGAATTGCCAATTCTGTTTTAACTTCATGTCATACTGGAGTCTGCTTGTTGAAGAATGAACTACAAAAGTGCATGGCCGAGGACATCCGGGGCTAATTGAACATCTTGGATCACTGTGTCACTTGCTCCACCCACAAGATGGTCAATTGGACCTTGTAGTGTAAATGTCAATAAAAATCAACATGAAAATTTGCTGTCATTCGCTATGTGGCCGAGCTTGGTTGCCCCACCCTATGGCACGGGCAGCTCATAGTGTCTTTTTAATTGGTGAGCTATTGGTGCCACTTGTTCTTTTGATTAGTGCTAATACAAAACCTACCATCTAAAATGCTTACGATGATGGAATATTCGTCTAAATAAAGGCATGCGCATTACCTTTAAAATGTGTGGTCACGAAAGACCAGATAATTATAATTGTGTATTTAATTAATATTCTTGTTACTGAATTTTATAACAATACTTTAACACATTACAATATATTGTTTTTATTTTAATTGCTAAAATGATAAAAATAACGTGTTAAAGTATTAGTAAACATTGATGTAAATGTTTTTTTTACAGTAATAATACATATTAATTAAAGTGTAATTATTTGCCTTACACGACGAGGTTGCATTGAACATATAATAAAGTAAATATGGTAAATTTTTGGTCACTACTTAAATGCTGGGATTTAATTAGGCGATAGTAAGGTCTGGTAAAAAATAAAATTTAATTACTAAATGGTGGTAGTTTAGCTGGTGTATGGGAGCTAAGCAGGTGAGGGTGAGAGTATGTGTTTGATTCTCTCCACTCTTCAGTATTACTTTTGGGAGGGATTTAAAACCTTAATTTTGAACTCATTTCGAATCGAACTAGTCGCAAAACGATGAACCGATTAAAATATTTTCAAAAAATAAAATTCAATTTACGCCGTAAAATATCATCCTAGTATTCTACCGCCAAACTATTAAAAAAATAAAATTCGCACCTGTATTGCATGCTTTATATTTTTTTTTTAAGGGAAAAAATTATGTGCATCTCGCTCATTAGGTGACAGGTGTGTTTGACTTTTTAGCAGAATTGCACTTTGTGATTCATAAACTGTTATATGAGGAAACTATTTTTGTTGGGAGATATTTTTTGGTAGATGTAATTATTAAAAATATTATAGAAAAATGAGTTTGATAAAAAAATTAAAAAAAAAAAATTTGTTTGGTTAGTGAAAATTTTACTAAAAAAATTGGGTTAAATTTAGTCAGAAAAGAGTAGTATTATCACAATTTTTGTCAACTTTTTCTCACTTGCTGGTTATATGCAAATACCACACTTCAATAGTGTGCTGCTTCTATTTTTGCATTTGACTCTAAATTGCTGGACAAATGACTTTGGTGGATAAGTTTTTATATCTCCTCTATCAAACAAAGATATCATCAATTGTCAAACTCGGATGCATGGGATTTCAACAAAAAAATTTAAACCAAACACTAGATCCGAGGCCACTAAAAAAAATATGGGTTTTAGTTTTATCCTTTAACATAACACAACAAACTTTCCTACCCTCACAACATTTTGTGAGATCCACACTTTTTAAAACAAAAAAATAAATAAAAAATTTAGGCACGCAAAACGAATCTCTATAACATTACACAGTCACTTTTCCTACAACATAACTCTTATAAAACTCCAAAAATATTGGAGATAATGTTTATTTAAGCGTTATGATACGTTTTTAATGGTTGTCTTTCTTTATTTAGGAATTAGGATCGTATTGTAATTTAATGTAATTATATATTTTATGTATTGTAAAGATATTTTTAAATTTGGTAAAAATATAAAAAATTAAAAATAATTGAAATTATTAAAGAAAATATAATTAAATATAATATAATTTAAAAAATATTTAAAATTATAATGATCAAATATAATTAATTTAAAAGAGTTTAAATTTAAAATTTTCAAAAATTAGAATAACATGTTTCACCCATTAAAATAAGGGGAAATAGACTATTATGCAATAGAACCCCACTACTTATTTTCTCTGTAATATGAGAGCCATTAAAATAAACTATAAAATTAAGTTATTTTTAAAAAAAATTATAATTTAATATGTAAAAATAAATTATTTAAACTTAGTGTTAATTATGATATAAGTCTTACATTCATTCTTAGTTACCCATGTCACATTTAATTGGTCTAATTGGTCTAATTTGTTAATCACGTGAACCGTTAAATGTCAATGGAATAAATAATTAAGATTAAATGTAGAACTTGTTATTGGTGTAAATTTATCTCCCCGAATATATAACATGTATAAAATTATTATGTCACAAGAATAATTATGTGACCCTATTATGTCGATAGCAAAATGAATAATGTTATCAACGCACACACATATAACTATATATTTGTGCACTGTTCAAAGTATATAGTTACTTTCACGTTATTTTTTGTACTCATATATCCTCATGGTAACGTGAGATTTAGGACTACATCATGTGCGACAAGTTTGGTATGTTTGTTTATGATATTACTCTTACGAAAATTATGTGATGCACAGATACGGCATATGATAATGCTATATGAATGCTTAGATCATGATCTTCTGTGTGGCTTAAGATAAACTCCACAATATCTATACTGTTAAAATTGCTTTTTTTATATCATAAAATGTTAAAGATCTTCATGAGTTATTGATTGGAAGCCATAAATCTTCGGTTGCAACTCCTGCTGTTCATTTTAGTACTCCAATACATCTTGCTCCTTAAATACTTAATGAAACAAAAAGAAACAAACAATATGTATCAATTCGATGTAAATTTTTATGCAACATTTGGAAAGACACTATTTGGTAATAAATTAAACAGAGGGGAGCATGGGTGGAATTTTATAAGTGTATAAGTGAATTTTAATACGGTATCAGTGAATTTTAATAAGCTGGTGAGAGAATGAATTCTATCGTGTAATATGATTATGTTGTGTTAGAATATAAAAACCATTCATGGATAAATTAATACTCATGAGGGATTTTTTTTTGTTAGGGGCTATGTTGAATGATGGATTTTTTTTATGATAGGAGATGAAAATAAAATATTAAAATTATAAGTGTAAGAAAGAATAATAGGATATGTTAACTATTACAAATAGTTTTTAGGTAGATGTTAATAATCTATTATTATTAAATAAATATTATTTTACATATATAATAATAATAAATTCAAAATTTAGAGAGAGACAAATGTCGATACTTGCCTGTCCTTTTGATCAGGCCATGTAAATTCCTAGAATGTGTTATATTGTAGCTGATGTAGTGGTCTATGTACACATGACATTATAGGTTTATTGTTAATTTCTTATTTGAGTTTTGAATAAATTATTTTTTGAAATTCTCCAAATATTCCCAAATAATTTTTGTAATTTTCTAAAATGCAAAATGTTCCATGTTTTCTCTTTGTAATTTTTCTATAAATAGAGAATAAGTTTGTTAATACTTAATAAAAGCTAATTATGATGGTTCATAATAAGTGGCTTACATGATAAACAAGTTTTCTTTATAGTTAAATAATTTTTACTATGATAGGAATTCAAGTTACCAAGAAAGCATTTCTAAGAAGAAATAGCTTTAGTATTACAAATAAGGATAGATCTCTCCTTTAAAGGTGTGGAGAAATTTCATAAGAGAAAAAATAAAAATAATTTTATGTCGTTTGAAAGCATTAAAATTTCATTAGTTTTACACAATGAAAGCTAAATTAAGTCCAGAGAAAAATTGTAATTACCATATGAGTGAATAAACAAAAAAGAAAGAAAGAAAATTATTTATTTCCGACCATCAAGAAACTGTAATAAAAAAGGAAAGTTGGTAATTGAACTCTGACTCGGACGCATTTTAGGTACAAACTCTATCCAATCTCTACTTATAATTTGTACCAAGGAATAAAAGAAAAGTATCTGTACTTAAAAAAGAAAAAAAGAAAAAAAAGAAAAAACAGTTTCTTTGTCACAAGTGACATGATGCCATTATTATAAACTGACTTGGGTAATAAAAAAAACGATTTTATTAGTATCATGTTACGTAACCCAATAAAATTTTCCTACACACACAATTAAGAGGTGAGGTTTACATGTTTTTGTTTCTCTTACATCATTTCACTTTCTTTCTCTTCTTTATTGTGAGAGTAGGAAAATTTGCTTATATCCTACAACATTATACTCATAAAACCCTAAAAAAAATGCTGCACAAAACACGCACTTAATCATCCATCCATATGACCAATGAAAATAATGTTCTTCAAACCATATGCTCAGAAAATAAAATAAAATAAAATACTTAATAGTAATTGAAATATGGGACCCAAGAAAAGAATAGAAGGCAACAGCCATAAACTCACTGGCCTATTGTCCTTTTCTTTCTACAACCGCCGTTTATCTTCCTCCATTTTCTCATCCTCTGTGGACGTTCACAAAGTCCCCTAAACAAACATCCAATAAAATCAAGACACGTCACAGTCCAGTTACACTTATGGCAAAGAAAGGAGTTTGAGGTATTGTGGAAGTTCACCCACCTGATCATAACCCAACCGAAAATAAAGAGAAATGGTTACATACAGAACCTGGAAAAAATAAATAAATAAAATTGGAAGATAAAAAAGAGAGAAGGGTCGCTTAAACGTCCTTCTCTGTCTCTCTCTCTCTCGCTCTTCGCCCTGAAGGTTTCTTTCTCTCTCTTCATTCTTTGCTTTGATTCGCCATAACTAAGAAGAGAAGAGAAGAGAGAGAACCAACCGACGAGCATATCCACCTAACCAACTGTTCTTCTTGTTGTTGTTCACAAGATATAGCTTCGTGGTTGGTTGGGTTTCCTTTGCATTTGGAAGGATTTAAGTTTCTTTCTCTTTTTGGTTTTTGTATTTTTTTGGTTGAGTTGTTTGGTTTATTGAGGGGTGTGTTGTTGAAGATGTTGGTAGCTAATAGTTTTGATCTATGGCGAAAGGACGCTTTCTTCTCTGCCGCGGAGGAAGTGCAGGAATCAGCTGATATGTACGTTCTTCCCAATCCCCTTTTTCAGATTTTTTTTTTATAAAAATGATTTTCTTTGTTTCTGATTGATTTAATTGCAAGATTTAATGAAATTTCATGTTAAATTGTGCTCCTTTGGGATTGAGGTGATGTTGGGTATGGGTATGGATCTATTGTTACGGCTCTGTGACAACTAATTTTGGTTGTGGTGGCCGGTGGGTGGCTTTTCCGTCGAGATATTGATGATTATCGTGTCTTTTGTTGCTTCAAGTTCTTCTATGTTCATGAATCAAGCAGCTGCTTCTCTTAAACTTTTATGACCACTGAGGGTTTTCAATTTCGGTTCAAACTTCCAGTTACTTAAAAAAAAAAATTACTTTTTTTTTTTTTTTTTGTAATTTGGCAGATTCTTTCCTTGGCGCTTGCAAATGGGATTTTTTTTTTTTTTTTTTTTTTTTTTTGTAATCACAGGGAATAGTAGAAACAAGGGAAGGGAGGAATAAGAACTATGAAAATTTAAAATTCAATTTTCCTTTTATCTCAAAATTTGGAACTATTGTTAAGTTAACACTTTTAGTGATCTCATATGATTAATCATATTGCTTGAGTATTTTGCATTTAAATGATGTGCTTGCCAACACACAGTAAATTCTAATCTTATAACTGGGTATAAAATGAACAAGGTATGTACTTTATCTGGATAAATATTGGGTTACTTATCCTCAGCACGCTTTGTTCTTACGTTGAAAACTTTAATCATAGATGGATGATTTGTTCTTACGTTGAGTCATTCCTGATTTAGGAGGGAGCCTGGTCATGTCTTCAGTGCCTGTTCTTACTATTAGTATATTGGAGTATGTAATTTCTGTCACACGGGAATTTCATTTATCTTTTTTTTTTCCAGAATGGAATCTGCGTTCAGGGCATGGTTGAGAGTGAGGAGAGAAAGTTCAACTTCCAAGGAATTAAATGAACTATGCAGGGAACTGCAAACTGCTTTAGGTACTGCTAAATGGCAGGTATGTGAGCTGTTTTTTTCTTTATTTTGATTTCCTTTTCCTACGTACGCTCCATTGAATATATATTTGCACTCAAAATATTTAATTTTCTTGTAAATTCTCAGCTCTGCCTTTGTTTCTAGTTTAATTCCTTAAAACTGAATGTTCCTCTTCAAGTTTTCATTTTTAAATATTCTGTTTTGAACATGCTGAAATAGTTGGAAGAATTTGAGAAAGCCGTCAGACTAAGCTACCGACATCTTGGGGATGACAATACAGCCACTAGGCATAGGCAGTTTATTTCTGCCATTGAAAGCCAAATTTCCCAGGTTGAAGCAGCGCTGAAGGAATCTTATATTGAGGAAGGTAAGCAACCCCTCCGGTGGGTAAATCTGGATGAAGAAGAGCGAGATGATCTGGCTGCATTTCTATCTGGAACATGTCAGAGCATGCAAAGCAGTAAGGATGAATGCACGGTTACTGCTTCGTTGAAAAGCTCACTTCAGGAGAAACAAGTCAACAAAGAGGATAAAAATGTTGTTAACAAAAATACAGATTATGTGATAGAAATAAAAGCAGATGCGGTTTCTAGAAATAGTGATGATGTAGTTTCTCAAACAGATAGAACAAGTAGTACAAGGAAGACATGGAGTCCACCAAATTATGGTGCTTTAAAAATTGTAATTGCTGATGAAGATGAGCAGAAAAATAAACTTACACGGACTGTTGATGCCACCCCTAAAGAGAAAGGATTCAAACCTGTATTCTGGAAACAAAGATGTGAAGAATATCCTCAGGCTAGGCAAGCAGTTCATATGTTCAATCAGGTTAGATGAATATATTTTAAGAAAGAGATACATTCAAACGAAGATAGGAGTTTTTTTCTTCTATTTTGCTTTGCATATTGTCCTTGTTTACGAAATGCATCCCAATAATTGATATTTGGGCATTCGAAGGAGATGCTAATGATTTTTTCATTCACTGCAGCTTTCTGGCCGCATTGGTTTATGCCAGAGACAGTTTCAAAGTCCCCTGCACTTGCGATATGGTTGTTCTGTTCAAGTTAAACTTGTTCTAATGTTGACCATTTTTCTCATTGGTAAGCTTTCAATTTTCTGCTACTACAGGATTCTTATCCACTGGGAATTCCATCTGTATCAATTTTGTCTTCAATTTATGCTTATTTCAGCTTTATTCTCATGTCCTCGTTAGCAATATTAAGTTAAAGGAGGGGCCTTTTTTTTCTAACTGAGTTGTGACTTGTGAGTAACATTGTTTTGAGATCTTGAAACTTGTTAGTTGTTATTATCTTTCATAAGATGATTAATAAAAAAAGCACACACATGTATATGGTTAAATAGTAAACAATTATTTTTATAGGATTACTATTTTTCTGTACGTATGATTAATTAATTGGGGGAGAAAGAAACATATTGAAGATATTCCGATAGAAAGCATACCATTTTTCTTGGGAAAATTTAATCCAGTTATTATTCTTGAGATCAAGATGGTAATCCTTGTCTATAGAGTTATAAATTATCAATCAATCGTTGCTGATTAGCTATCCTTCTCTCCTAGAAATCTAGTGAGGCACCCTCTTGTCCAAGAAACTTTTAAATATAATATTCAAATTACCAAGTGGTTCAAGATCTTGTTGACCATGCCAATAATTTTGTAACACGTTATTCCCCCATGTGTTTTGTTTTTTGGTTCTATGAGATACAAAGTTTTGGTCAACCGGTAGTAAATGATTGCTGGGTTTCTCTTTGGCTTTGCTTTCATTTTTACTTAATTATATTTATGATATGGAAGCAATTTCTTTTCTGTAATTTGCTCATACTTCAACTGTCTGGACAATTTCTCTGTCAGTCTGTTGGATTTACATGAAAGAGGGAGTACTTTTAGCAAGCTTGACTTTTCTCCTTCTATCTTATTTTGTGCTGCCAATCATGTTTCTGCGCAAGATTAGCCATTTTAGTCCTCTCAGCTGTTTTAGACCTCTCTGCTGGAAGATTTTAGTTTCTTGGTTTCTGTATTAAGCGATGCTAATTCAGGATATTTTCTTTCCCTTCTCTGTAGTTCCCTTTGTACTTTATTCAACTTGAGTTAAACGGCAGCGTCACTGGATCAGCTCAAGAGGTATTTCTACAACCTTAAAACTTTTTTTAAAATTAAAATGAGAAAATCTGAAAATGGTGTATGTATGTTTGTGGTGTAAGTTAACAGCAAGATATTTCCATTTTGCTCAGAGCATTGTTGGAAAGAATGAAATATTGCATTTCCTTTTTCCTAAGAAGATTTATTCTGGTTTAATTTTTTCACAAATAGATTTGTTCACACGCAACACATGCAAGATAGTTGTCGTGTTTCTTTCATCTGGCCAAACATACCATTCTTCATTTCAAAGCAAATTTTGACTTTTGAGGCTGAAAGATGGGGACATCGGAAATAATTTATAGCTTGTTTGTGTTTCAAGATTATTGAAATCTGGTTATTTCTGTCCACTTCAGCGATGTAGCTACTGAAATAACTTTTTTGCAAGACCTTGGCTTTTATTTGAAGGCATTAAATTTATCCGTCTGTTTTGTTCTTGGCATTTTTTGAGTTGGCTAGTGGCATTGTATCAATCGAACTTTGGGTTTTGCAGGGCTCTTACTGGTCCTCATGAATGCTAAGGAGGTCACTGGCCGTTTGAGATCTCTGCCTGTATTGGAGGGACAAGTCCGCTAAAGGGACAGCCAAGACAATCGGTGTCACCTTTCTATTTTGTCTTTGTTGAGATTAAGATGAATTTACCTCTGCGTGGTTGCTGATAGGATAGCCAACCTGCATCCTACAGGCATAGGTGTCTGTCTATTTTAGTTTCCTCTGCTCCTCAAATGTATATACATTCATCTATATTAAATATTAATGCTAAGTTCCACTGTATTTGTTCGCAAGATACAGTCCTATTTGATTCCAACCTTGAAAGGTAACAGGATGAAAAATAATTTATATTTATCGTGGAAAATTTATGAAAAGAAATCTCGTGGTTAGTAATTGGTGAAGAGTTACTATTTCTACTTTATTTATTTATGGGGGAACGGAGGAGGAGAAGACAAGTGAATCCTTATTGGGACACGGAATGATAAATTGTTTATTACTGCGCCTAACTTCCTATAGGTGTTATATATGAAGATTTATAAACAAATTATCTCGTTATAAATGATTTTCTGTCTGATTGTAAAACTAAAAGAGTTATTTATGAACACTGTAATTGAAAATAACGAAGATCATAAAGTATGTTGTTCATGCAGAGACAAATAAACATTGTAAGAACACAGGCACATTCATTACAAATGGTCGTCTAAGGGTGCTCCCACAAAGGCGAAGCCCTAGGCTAGATGGTCACACCTCATACTTCCAAGTAGAAACCTAAGAAGAAGAATGAATGAAACATCATTGTAAGAGCAGGGTATGTAATATTCATGAAATGAAAGTCTTTGGAGGGAAGCTGGAAACAAAATAGGGTTGATATTTCTCAACTGAAAAACTGATAATTCATACATATGATGATTTTATACCTGCTGTATCTCAACGCCAAAAATATACTCTTTTTATCACAAATTCGCAAGGTAATTGAAAAGCTAACCGTGGAGCACTTTTTGATTCTCACACTAAAGAAAATGGTCTTTTAGATAGTTGTTATAACTTATAACAACAGAAAATCGCGTAAAAAATTTAATCAGTGTGTATTGGATTGGGATTTCAAAGGATTTTAATGGATTATTTTTCGACAAAAAATCCATTAGTATAGTCAATTAGAATTTTAATGGATTAGAAAAAAAGTCACGAAGTATTCGATTAAGATTTTAAAAGATTATTTTAGAGTCCGTCCAAATTCGTTGGTATTCAATCAAGATTTTACACAATGGAAAAATAATCTTATGGTATTCAAAAATCTAACGATTTTAATGAATTTTTTATTGTGTGAATTTCGTGAAACTTTTTAGTAAAAAATATAAATAAATTGTCTCTTTCACAATCTCACCCTAACCCCTAGGATTTATGTAGATTTCTCTATTATAATGTTTTTTTCTTCCTTTGGCAAGTTAGCCCGTTCGAAATCGGGTTCCGCCATGAGAGCTTCGTCAAAACTCAAAAATAACATATTTTTGAACCATTTTCATCACAAAACAACCCAGAAACAACAAACCAACGAGATTTTAATATATCTCAAAAATAGCATATTTTTTAGTCATTTTTTGAGAAATTTTGGAAGTTTAAAAAATGATTTTTCAAGCTATGGGTCGCAGTTTTTCTTGGCACAAAAATGTGTGATTTTTGTATTAAAAACAACATAGAACAGTGGGAAAACAACATGGGAACTAAAACCCTCAAACCAATTTTCGTTTTACATCAATGAAACAATATCAATTTAAAGAAAGATTGAAACTTTCATAAGATTAACCCTATATTTCGTAACAATACATTCATGAACGAAATTCTTTCACTATAAAAAACTATTTCAAAAATTTTTTATGTCAATAGATAACTAAAAACTTGTTTTTCAATAGCCCCAAAGCAATTTACGGTTTCAATGTATCGATTGAAAAAAAATTGAGAAATTTTCTAAACTTTCATGTAATAAAACTTAAAAATTCAGATTCAAAATTGTCTTAGAATATTCAATGAAAATATGTGATATATGGTTAGAAAACTCTCACCACGTGGAACAAAAATCACAAGGTTTTCAATATCAATTGCAAAAAAATTCAAACGAAATTTCATTATGAACTTTAGATTCTATATACAAATTTAGAATTATTTTAATAATTAAAAAAATTGGGTCTTATAATCATATATGCATAGCTTTGATACTAAATGAAGAAGATAATTTTCAATCCATTGGTCAAACCCAAGAGCAAGACAATGTAAATGCATTGAGGACTAGTATAACTTTAGATATTTGAAAAGCTATTGCTTAGTAATTTTGAATGTTTGTTAAAAAGTATATTATGTTTTACTAATTGAGAAAATTATATTAGGTTTTACTTTTTTTATTAATTTTATTGCATTTCTTTGTTAATTTTTTTTATTGACTCTTGTAATTTTGAATGTTTGTTAAAATTTCATATGGTTTTTTAAAATCTTTTAAATTCATATTGTCCTTTCAAATCTTATAAATTCTATTAAAATGTTTGTAAAAAAGTATTTTTAAAAAGTCTTTAAAGTTCCTCCAATTCTAAATAGTCTTTTAAAATTTATAAGATTTTTTATCTTAAAAAAAATCTTTTAAAATCCTAATCCAATACACCCCAAGTTAGAAATAGACGAAGGCTATCAATTTTCATTTAGGAGTGTTATGTTTATTGTCTGATTATAGAGAGAGGATTTTAAGGAATTTTTGCTCCGAATGAGAAGTTTGGAAAAGAACCCTTGTGGGGATGAGGAGGACTTCAGAGCACGCAGTGTGAAAAAGCCTAAAGGAGACAATGGTCTTGCGGATACAGATATGGATGATAACATGGTGGAGAAGGAAACGTGTCAAGAGGAAGATAACCCTTCGTCTCAGAAGATGGAGGAGCTGCATAATAAGAAAAACCTGGGAGGTAAAGGAAGAAGGTTAGTGTCTTACATGGATAAGGTGTTGTGTCTCAACGGTGAGGACAATGCGTCAGATGACGAGGAGGATGACTTGCAAGCAGTCCAAAGAAGAGAAGAAGAGGAGGAGGACATGCCTGATGAGATGGGGTCAGGTGAGGAAAATGACCCTCTATGCCCAACGTATGTCTTCTCCAAGAAGCAACACAAGAAAGACTGTAGGAAGTCGAGGAATGCTTTGATCATCAAGCTTATGGGGAAGAAACTAGCATCAAGATTCCTGATGGTAAAACTACAAAGGTTGTGGAACCTAGTGGGGACTTATAAGTTGACAGATTTGGATAATGGCCACGTCCTCTTAAACTTCAAAGAGGAAAAGGATTATATACATGTCTTGCATGAGGGACCCTGGATCATTACTGACTACTACATCATAGTTTAGAGGTGGAGACCTTTCTTTAACCTATACAATGACAAGGTTAGGAAGCTAGCCGTCTGGCTGAGGATTCATGGACTACCAACGGAGTTTTATACGATGCAGCATCTTTGGAGGATTGGGAATATACTAGGGAGAACCCTCAAAGTGGATAAAACCTCCTTGAGAAGGGTGGAAGGCATGGAAGGGGAGATCACAGATAAGGCTAGGTTTGCCAGGCTATGTGTGGAAGTGGATCTCAAAAGAAGTTTTGTGTCAAGATTCAGGATGTGGGACTTCATCCAACAGGAATTCGTATATCTCAATGTGGGGTATGAAGGGCTTCACATGATATGCTTTGAATGTGGACGCTATGGACACAAAAAGGAAGCATGTAATGGAGGGCTTGGCTATATGGCAAAGAAGCACCAATCCCTGGTGGGAAGCATACGCCAGAGCAAGGAGAAAATGTTGTCGATGAACAAGTACCCAAGGAGGGGGGGTGAAAGGATCACTGTGACAACTGAGGAAAAGGGAAAAGAGACTCAAGATGCTTTTGGAGCTTGGATGGTGGTTAAGAGGAAAGAGCGCAAAACAACCGGAGCAACCCAAGCAACCAAGAAGGAGGAGGCGGGGAATGGCTATACGGTCGTCGTGAATAACAGCTTCAGTGGTGGTACCACCGCCGGTGGTGCAAGACTCGAGGGAAATACCTTAAACCATAATAGGGGTAAAGAAGGAGGGTCAAAGGGGTCCAGAACACAGAACGTAGGGGAACAAAAGAATAATACTAAAGGTAATATGTATAAGTTGACTCCGCGAGAGAGACAACAGCACAATCACCAGAAGAAAAATACCTTGGAAATAGATTCGGTGAGAGGAGAAGGTACAGACCTGAACATGCATAAAGTAAAGCAAAAAGGTCATGCTAACCCTCGAAAAGAAAACACAATGCATACTGTCAGTTCTGAGGAGGTGGGGCCCAACTTGGGTAGCATGCAAATAGTGACTGCCCATGCAGAAGGGTCTACGTCCAACACACCACAATGCACAGAGGGAATTAGAGAGCCTCAACCCCATGGGGCAGAAAAGAATCTGTTGGATGCTATTGAACTGATGAGGAGATATACCCAGTCGAACCCAGACACGGCCCGCATGGCAGACGAGGCTTTGTTATATGGGAACCTATATCTACGTTGATGGGCCCTGGGCCTGCGTGATTTTTCCTCTCTTTTTTGATGGTTATTATGAATATATGCACTTGAAATTGTAGAGGTGCTAGTAAGAGGGGGTTTTGTCATCTCATCAGAGATATGATCAAAAAATACAATATTAAAGTTCTTGTGCTCACTGAGGTGCGCATCAGTGGCTTAGACGCTGATAGAAAGATAAAACAAATAATCTTTAGTGACTATTTCAAGCAGGACGCTCGTGGCTTTGTTGGTGGAATATGGGTCATGTGGGACAAAACAGAGGGTGACATCTCTTTGCTAGCGTCTCATATGCAATTCATTCATGTAAACATCAGATGGACTGTTAATAATATGGAGGAGGTGGCAACTTTTACCTATGGCAGTCCAAGAAGGATTGGTAGAAGACTGTTATGGGAAGAACTCAACGGGATCAGTGAGGATGTGAGAAAACCTTGGCTGGTAATAGGGGACTTTAATGCGATCAGTCAAAGGCATGAGAAGTATGGGGGAGGTGAGGCCTGCTAGGGTAGTATGCGGGAGTTTAACTACTGTTTGAGCCACTGCGATCTCTCAGATACTGGCTTTAGAGGTCCTTCATTCACTTGGAAGCGTGGGAGGCTGGTGGAGCGTTTGGATAGGATGGTTGCAAACCCTTCTTGGGTGGTGAACTTTCCCCAGCAATTCATTTTACACTTACCCTATTTTGGCTCGGACCACAGGCATATCCTCCTGAAGGATGGACCGCGTGACAACCAAAACGGCAGGTCTCGTCCCTTTAAATTTCTTGCGTCGTGGCTCCTTTGTGAAGGTTTCGATGATTTGGTCAAGAAGTGTTGGAGTAGGGACACTACATGGGATGTTGGCAGCAAGATGTTTCATCATGAAGCTGCCAAGTGGCACCAGACAACGTATAAGAAAATCATTAATCAGAAGCACCGCTTGGTTGCTCGTATCGAGGGCATCGACACACAGATGAACGACCATCACAATAATGCTCTAGAAGGATTATATAGTAGGTTGTGGGCTGATCTCAACAGTATTTATATTAAGGAGGAGATTAATTGGTTCCAAAGGTCTAGGTGCAGGTGGATAAAGGATGGTGATAGGAATACTAGATTCTACCATACGTCAGCAGCAGTGAGAAGAAGAAAGAACAAGATTCTCACGTTGAAGGATTAGGACAATCGGTGGTTTACTGATCCAGAAGAACTTAAAGGCATGGTGGCGGGCTATTTCGAGAATCTTTTCAAGGATGACGGTGCTACCCTAACTCCCTTTCCCATAAGGGGTTGTTTTCCGAAAGTTAATAGCATTTCCTTCTCCCACATGCATTGCATTCCGTCGCCTGAAGAAATAAGGTGTGTCTTTTTTAGCATGGATGGTTACAAGGCTCCGGGTCCAGATGGTCTCCACGCTATTTTTTACCAGACTCAATGGCATACAGTGGGGAACTCTATGGTTAAGCTGGTGCAGGAGATCTTTCATAACCCAATGAAGATCAGGCTAATTAATCAACCTCATATTTGCCTTATACCCAAGGAGGAAAATCCTGACTCCATCAAGAAACTTAGACCAATCAGTCTATGTAATTGATGGTCCTCAAGAGTTGAGGCCCATTAAGTGTAAATTGTTCCACAAAACCCATGTTTTGGTTATAAATCACTCCCTTCAGCCTTCTTCTTTCCATATAGAGCAACTGTTTTGAATAGTGGACCAGAGCAATACCGAAAGTGGGAGTTAAGGTAGACCTGGAGCAAATTTAATATTATCTTTTTCACATATGACTATTGGGTTAGTTTGCTTTGTTCAGGACACCTAAGGCCCATCAGAAAGAACCACAAAATGAAGAGAGAAGAATGAGTGTTGCGCAGAAAGGAAAAAAAAGCCTGTTGTAGTACAACAACAGTCAAAGGAAGCAATGGGAAGCCGCCACGTCAGCCACAGCAGAGAAGGTGGAGGTGCTACCTCTGCTACAGTACGAAAGCAAAGAAGCTGAGCAATCAAAAGCCGCCACGTCAGCTGCAGCAGAAGGAGTGGAGGTGCCTCCCTGAATCCGATACTCCCACTCACAAAGGGAGCCAAAAGCAAGGGGGACCACTTCCATTTAAGGCCAAGCTGGCAAAAAGCAAAGCTACCATTGGAGAGGATTTCTATTCGGAGCTGAGCTGGCAAGAAGCAAAGCTACCATTGGAGAGGATTTAAACAAAGCACGACCCTTGATGAAAGGAACAATGAAGATCAAATGAAGAACCCTATAAAAGGAACAAGCAATCCTGATAAAGGAAATCATCAGCGCCCATCCTAGGACTCGTCATCTCTTTGTTTTTTTTTGTAAAAATGCTCACTAGGAGCTAACTTCCCCTAAGTAGGTGAGGGTTCCATATAAGTAATCCCTTTTGTCTCAGGATAACTTTGTAAGGAACACATATTTTATAAATGAATTTTGAGTTGCTCTTTGGTTTAATTTATTGATTTTGTGAAACCCTTTGGGCTGGCAACCTCATCCCGGGACCACTCGGTTGATGAAACACTGACAAGGGCGTGTGGAGTATTCTCAAGATCCTGGGGTAGTTTAGCCTGAAGAAAGGAGGGAGAAACACCTGGAATGGGGAGCACTGCCATGTGAATCCATGCTCTTTTGAGAAGGCAGCATGGTTTCCTTGCATATAACTCCAAGTACTATGGAGTAACGTGGAGAGTAAGGCCTTACCCTCTGCTTACCTATAGCAAAACAAGGGAAGGAGCAAAATCCACTTGTAAAATATGCTACCAAGCAGGGTTAACCAAAGGGATGAAAACATGAAACTCGTAACACCTACTTGACTTTTTCTGAAATTAATCTTAACTCAAACTTCTATCACAACCTTTTCCTCACGATAACTGAACTGTGTTTTACCAGCTGATGCTCTTACTTTCATTTCGTTGACTGCTCTTGAAGTTACTTAAATTGATGCCTTTTTATTCGATGACCGTGCTAAGTCATTCACTGCTCTCATCTGGTTCAGAATGGTTAACATTGTTTAACTAGCTGCCCAGAGATTGCTCTTTGTGAAGCTTAGCTGAGAATAGTACTTTCTTTTATTGCTCCATTTTACAAATTAAGTTTCCTTTAACGCTTCTTACTTCACAACTGCTCCCTGAGGACGATAAATCTGGGGCTACAATACCCTATATTGCTTGACACGTACGCTTGCGTATAGTTGAAGAGGGTTGCTCTTAGTCAGAGTAGATTGCTCCTGTTGGCAATCCTGATTATTACTCTACACTCTTGCTCTCTGAAAAGATATTCCCGAGCAGCTCTCGGTTCGACCAAGCAGTAATGTAGCCTTTAAAGCCATCTCAAAAATCCTGGCTAATCGCTTGAGGCCTCACCTTGACACCTTGATAATGCCAAACCAATGCAGCTTCATTAAAGGGAGGCATGGCAGCGATAATATAGTCATAGCTCAGGAGATCATGCACTCGATCAAGAGCAAGAAAGGAAACATTGGGTGGATGGTTATCAAGGTTGATCTTGAGAAGGCTTATGACAAAGTGAACTGGTGCTTTCTGCGTCAAACGCTTAAGGAGGCAGGTCTGAATCACAATGCGGTGGATCTCATCATGGAAGGAGTGTCATCAACGTCCATGAGTGTTCTTTGGTAAGGAAGCACTACAAAAGAGTTTTCTCCAAGCAGAGGGATCAGACAGGGAGATCTTTTGTCTCCATATCTCTTTGTGTTATGTATTGAGCACTTGGCCCATCTGTTCCTTGAAGCCACAACCTAGAAGAGGTGGAAACCAATCGTGCTGAAAAGAAAAGGTCCTCCTATTACTCACTTGTTTTTTGCTGATGATCTTTTGTTGTTCGCCGAAGCCTCCATGGACCAGGCTAAAATCATTAGTGGGGGTGTTGAAGTGTTTCTGCGAGGCCTCAGGCCAAAGAGTGAGTGCTGACAAATCTACGATCTTCTTTTCTAGAAATGTGAATCACAATAGATCCATGGAAATTGCCCAGGAGATGAATTTCACTGTTGCCTCAGACCTGGGCAAGTAGCTTGGGATCCCCTTGATGAATGATAGAGTGAGACCCATGCATTTTCGTTATATCATGGATAGAATAGACAGGAAGCTTAGCAACTGGAAAAAGAATTTCCTGTCACTTGCGGGAAGAACCACGTTGATTCAATCTGTTATATTAGCTACTCCTTCCCATACGTTGCAGTCCTGCTATCTCCCTGCGAGCTCATGTGGGACCATCGAAAGGAAAGCTAGGGATTTTCTGTGGGGATCCACTCCTGAGAAGAGGAAGATCCACTTAGTGGCTTGGGATAAAATATGCCAACCGAAGAAAAGTGGAGGTATTGGGCTAAGGAGGATAAATGAGACTAAACATGCATTTCTTATGAAGCTGGGACATGGGGTGCTGACCAAGAAGAACAGTTTATGGGTCCAGGTGCTTAGGAATAAGTATGGGGTGGATGAGAATCTTATCCCTACTTTGAAAGCTAATGCAAATGTGTCAAACCTATGGAGGGGTATAATGCATGTATGGCCGAAAGTTGTTCAGGGGTCCCGCGTGCAGCTGGGAAATGGCACTCAAACTAGCTTTTAAAGGGACAAGTGGCTGCCTTGCAACAACATGGTGAGAAGGAAGGAGGGGGCTACAGCGCCAGAGGAAAGCTTGGACTGGACTGTGAATATGATGGTTAACGCTCAGGGTCAGTGGGACTGGAGGGTGCTATAGCAAGTCATGGATCAAGAAACGTGTGGCCTGATTGCTAACATCATACCTCCCGTCCCAAGTAATGGATCCGACATAGTTGTTTGGGGCCTTACCAACGATGGTGCGTTCTCCATCAAAACAGCGTACAGTATGATCACAGAACACTTAGAGTAAGGGATGGTGGATAAGTGGGACGTCGGCTGGTCTTGGAAAGGACCAAAGAAGATCCAAACGCTCCTCTGGTTGTGTCACAACAATTATCTGCTAACCAATTCCAACAGGAGGGCGAGACACCTTGCGGTTCCTGACTCGTGCCTAAGATGCAGTGTCTTTGGTGAGGATACCATTCACCTTTTACAGGACTGTAGATGGAGCAAGGAGCTGTGGAATTCTATCATTCTGATTGCCTCAGACTGGAGTTTTGCAACCATCCCCTTAAACCTTAGCTGGCAAAAAACCTCAGTTGTAAGGCTACGGTGCAGAACATGAGCAGGAAGGACCTATTCGGAGTTGCTTGTTGGTGCATTTGGAAAATCCAGGAATAAGTTAGTTTTTGAGAACAAAATCACTTCTCAGGTTGTTGTGATTAGAGAAGCTAAGAGGTTTGTTGAGCATATGTATGAAGCCCAACGGGTTTTCAGTGCGCATGGTCTTAACACGCGAGCCAAGGAGGAAAGGCTCATTTGCTGGGAATTTCTTGCTATGGGCTGGTGTAAGCTTAACGTTGATGGATCCAGCTGCCTAAGAGGGAAGAAATCAAGTTGTGGATGGGTGATTAGAGACGAGAGTGGTAGATGGATGTACGGTTTTTGCCGAAATCTGGGGGTTGGATCTTCCAATAGAGCTGAATTGTGGGGTTTATTTCTCGGTATTGAGATGGCGTGGGATGCGGGCATCAGAAAGCTGTGGATTGAGGGTGATTCACATGTGTCAATTGATTTGTCCAGGAAAGGGTGTGATCCACATCATCCTTTAGCTCCTATAGTTAAGAGAGTCATGGACGTGTTAAGTAGACATTGAGAGATTAGGACTAGTCATTCTTATCGTGAGGCTAATATGGTAGCCGACAAGTTGGCGGCTTTGGGCCACCAGTATACAGACTGGGATACACATGTTCTACATGTGCCTCCAGCAAAGTGTCTTAGCCTAATTAAAAGGAATGTAATGGGTGTAGCTAGCCCTGTATCATGTACTTCTCCGTAGTTGTTTAATTCCAATATTTTCAAAAAAAAATAGACGAAAATTAAAAACAAAACCACGATCCTTATATTGAAATAAAACTTGCTAATAATATTATCACTGGAACTAACCTGTTATGGGCCCTGTCTCTGGACCATTTGGCCCAAGATTAGTTCTAAATAAATAAAAAATAAAAAAGAGAAAGGTGGGGGAATTGCCATGCCAGAGAGTTTTATCAGTCCTCCACCGAACTCTGATATCTTTCTCTTCTCTTTGTGTTGTGTTGTGTGCTGCAATGTTCCATTTTCAATTTTGAATGTTGAGTTTCTGAGATCTGATGCACAAATAACAACACTGTCAGCTGGTGGAACCCTAACTAACCCCGATCCGAATCGAATCTCGTAACTGGCGATGTCTTGTTTAGCGCTTTCTTTGCAACCCGCAAACGGATCCGATATCCTTCTCCAGACCCGCGAGTGGTTCCCTCCCTCCCGAGCCCTCGGCGCCCTCTCCGCCTTCCGCCAGACCCGCCGCGCCTTCGCCGCCAACAAGAACACCGTCCCCGACGATGCCTACGCCGCCGAATCCATCGGCGACGATCCCCTCGCCGCCTCCAGTGGCCAGGTCATCGTCGGGGTTGAGAGCCGCTACCGTGTGGTCTATCGTTTAGTCAACGGCATTTACGTCCTTGGCATCACCGTCGCCGATCACGACAACTCTGTCAACGTCTTCGAGTGTATCCACATCGTTAACCAGGCCGTCAGCGTCGTTGTCACCGCGTGCCGCGGCGTAGACGTGACGCCTGAGAAGCTTAGCCGGAAATACGCCGAGATTTACATGGCTCTCGACATCGTTCTCAGGGGCGTTAGCAACATCCGCCTCGCCGCTATGCTCGCCACCATGCACGGTGACAGCATCGCCAAGATGGTGCATTCGGCGATGGACACCGAGAACAAGATCCGCGGCGCCGATAATTGGTCTTCGGTGGAGGTGCATTCCGTCGAGCACCAGGCAGGCATTGATGCTTTTGCCAATGCTAGGTTCGAGTTGCCGCCGGAGACGCTTGAAGCCGGTGACGAAGTGGCGGCTAGCCTGGCACCCGTGGCGGCACAGAGCGCAGGGGAGCAGCAGGAGGAGCAGAAGCAGGAGGAGACTCAAGCGGAAAAGGATCCGTTTGCAGCAAGTGATGCCATTAACAAGCCACAAGAGCTTGTGGGTGGGTTCAAGAAGACTAAGGATCCTTCTGCTACTGATTTGACGACAGCGTTGGAGGGGCTTGACGTTACCACATTGCCACCTCCAGAGGCTACTCAATCCACCCACATAAATGTGGAGGGATTTGAAGGGAATTATGGTGGAGTAGAGTTTGGGAATGAGCAGGCTTCTATCGGAGAAGCTTTTGAAGGTTTCAATGATGCTTGGGGCGGTGGACTTGATCCTTCTGAGTTTGTGGGTCCAACCAAGGCTCCAAAACCACAAGGGCTTGGTGGTGTTGAATTGTTGCAGACCGGAATAGATGCCGCACCTAAAGCAACCGGGGCTGAAAGTGGTTCAGGCACTCCACTTGAGAACATGTTGGTGAAAGAGATGAAGGGTCCCGAGATGTATATCTCAGAGGAGATTAGTGCAGAGTTCAGGGAATCTTTGCTTGCAAGGGTGGGATTAATGGGTGTTGTTTACCTTAGAACTTTACCGCCTAAAACTTCTGGTGATAAGGAAACTGAATTTTCATTCCGAGTTGAAGGAACCAGTGCTGTTAAAAGATTTGTTATACAGAGTTCTCGTGTTAGTAGCCTTGGTAATGGGATGTTTCATGTGAGAACCGCAGCCTCAGAGGAGCCTATACCCATTATGAAGTATAGTTTGTTACCCAGGTTGACGCCTTTGCCTTTGAGGGTTCGGCTTATAAAACGGCACACTGGAAGTTTGCTTTCTGTGATGATACAATATGCTTCCAACCCTGACTTGCTGGCTCCCCTGAGTGATGTTACATTTATTCTGAAACTACCCGTTGACCCAACACTGTTGAAGGTTTCACCAAAAGCTGTGTTGAACAGGTCTGAAAAAGAAGTTAAATGGCATGTGCCAGAGATTCCATTAAAGGGCTCTCCTGGCAGATTGAGAGCAAGGATGCCAGTAGATTCTAGCGAAGATGATGAAGAAATTGAGGTGGTTGGTTATGTGAAATTTTCTCAACAAGGAACTCAGTCATTATCTGGAGTTTCTCTGCGGCCTGCTTCGGAGGGTAAGACAGACTTCTATGAGGTTAGTGACAGATTTGAGAGTGGGGTTTACATGTGCAGCTGATTCATAATCATAAATGATTGTTAGGGAGCTGTACTTTTTCATTTTGTGTTCATGCGAGTGTATGTTTTGGTTGTGTTTATAGCATTTTTGGATAATTGATCATGTACCTTGAACTCTGAAATTCTTTGTTACTATGTGTTATGCCTATTAGTTTACATCAATGAATTGTATTTGGTCTTCACAATATGTTATTTGCTGGGAAAGTACATGCTAATACCTTCTGAAAAATTTAATAGAATAATAACTAGGAAGTATAGATCGTTGAAAAGATAGTGTGGAGTACTGATAGTATTCACACGTGCAGCATGTTTAAAATCCTTGGAATGAGCACCCATTAGGCTTATGGAAGAAACCAATTGATGCTGTAATATTTAAGATTGGTTCAGCAAAGATTAAAAAAAAAGTTATTCTATGTATTACTTTTGATCAACACTAGGCAAGGGTTTTGCTTTCTGGATCGAGTAATAAACTAGGACTGTACCAAGATTGGTGTATTAAATTTGAAAATAACTCTTCTAAAGTGAAATTATCTATAAAGAGAGCAAAGGTGTGTCCAACCTTAAATTTTTGTGCGTTAAGATCTCGATGTTTTTTTAATTTACATGAAAAGGTAGATATATCCTTACTTGCTCATTTTAGAAACAAATTCACTTTAGAGTAGCATTGTCCATTAAATTTATTAGATGCTACTGTTGCTGTGTTGTTGATGAAATTAGTAATGTAAAATAGAGGCAACTTCAAAAGTGTAAACCAATTGCAAGGTTTCTTTTTGTATTACTCATCCATGTCATTATAGACTCTTCAGTTTCTTTAGGTCATCTAGTCATGAGAAATGATGACTAACAACAGAACTTTTTTTTCCCTTCATTTACTTTTATGATGTACATTTAGAGAGTGGGGATAAAGTAATAAAGTGTTTTCTAATCATTCTTTGTTCTGTATCACATATCTCATTCCATGGTCTTTACAATTGGTAGAATTTGAAATACCTCTTTGACTGGAGAATTTTTTTTCATTGGACAGCGTTAATGAAACACGGTTGCTTCTCCCTTTCAAAGTGTTATACATATCTATGGTAGTTAGAATTACATTTTATTTTAGAAATTTTGTACTTTTCTGGGCCTTGGTATTGGAAGTTCCGCTACCTTGCCCCACATTGTTCAGTGATTGATCTTCGCACTCATAAGTGTATGTTTTCAAAATGGCGCTTATCATTATACTTTATATCGGTCTATTATGTGGAAGGAGTGGAGGTGAAGCGCTTTTGTGATTAGATGAAATGATAAATGTTTGAATGTGAATTCATGCATTTTGATGGAAGAATGAATTTTATTTACTGTCATTGTCAGCAACTTTTCAAATCATTCTACGGTTACATAGAATAGTGCTGCTCATACATGCGTATACTCAGTATATTTGTACAGCTTTTATCCTTTAATTATAGTTGGTTTCACATCGTTTTCATTTTTTGGCAAATCTATGCATTGATTCTGCCACGTCACTTATATGTGAAGTGACGGGCTTGGTGCTGATGTGTACAAAGCATTCTTCGTTACATGTCATGTTCTTTCTGTTATACTTTGGTTCGTAGGGACCCTTTTTCAGCAGCTGAAAACCTTTACGTGCAAAAATGTCTTCAGTCTGTCTTCTTAAGGATCACCTAAAGCTTTTCTAGAAGTATCCACAATGGATAGAAAGAAGGTACTCTCGGGGGTAATCTTAGAACTACAAATACATAAAAAATTAGAAGTAACAAAAATGACTTTGCTGCTAATAATGCATGTAAAGTTAATATTAGGAATTGATATTCAATAAGTAATCATGTTTTGTACATGTAAAACTACCGGAAAATTTAAAAGACATTGCTGTTCGAGACTAAACACGGTGTTCGAGCTGTTAGTAGATTTCATTTCATTATGCATAAGCAAACAAGGAGAGGAATGTATCTCAAGTCTATTGTTTAGGATCATTAAGCACGAACCGGAGATTCCAAACTGGGATCTGATCCCTCAAAGATGCAAGATAACTTGGACATAGAATTGGAAGAGGCTCTTGGGGATTTTTCCCATGAATTTCGTTTACTTGCGAATAGGATGGGCTTGGTAGAAGTTGGAAAGTGTAATACAGAGAAAGCCAATTTTTTTTTTCTTTCATGTTTTTCTTCATTTCGAGCAGTAACCACGAAGTATGTTCCACATCCTTCCGATGAAATCATGGACAGAGACCTGCATGTACGATTGTTTATGTAGCAATAATTGAATGAATTATTTTCACATAGATTATACATCCATATAGTATAATTTAAGATGGTTGGCGTTTACGCAAGTGTCTTGCATACCAAGCTAAGACTAGGTTGATCCCCTGTCCTAGACTAGCCATTAAGAGTGTGTGAAGATACCCTAAACATCTTTCTTAGCCAGCTTAAAAGAGCGTCTGATCATAATGACATGAGCTCTTTAATTGTTGGAGTATAAGGCTTATATATTGCTCCATGAATCACCCCTCCATGATTGGGTTTGGATGCGAGTTAAGTTAGGTCTCCTCTTCTGCTATATACCTTCTTCGGGTGTGTGGGATTTAGGGTGACACAACAGTGCTCCGTGTGAAGCTCAGTTTAGCTTTCTAAGCTTTTTGAGTCCATATTTGCTAAAAGATACTTGGGCTAATTTTTATTTGGCGAAGGTAGTACTTTGCCTTGACGACTTGGGTTCAAATTTTGAGTCAGGATATAAGATAATGAAGTTGTCCATAGGCTTTGTGTAAATTTCTTATCATTTTATTTTCGGCTGCTGCGGCATTGAATTTTAATTTTTGTTATTCAATTTTTTTGTCATTTATTCAAGGCAATATGATCTTATCATTTATGTTTTGATGGCAAGAAGATATGTTTCTCTTCCGAGATAATTTTACTTTTAAAGCAAGTAATAGTTTATTCATCCTTAACCTTTAGTGGGTTAAAATCACAGCACACTATAAATTAAATTAAGGATAAATCTATTCTTACTTTAATGAAAAATTCATTATAAAATAATTTTATTAAATAATATATAATTTATGCAACTATTGTTTACTTTGTTTGTGAGTGTGAGAGCCATATAAGAAAAAAAAAAAAAAAAAAAAAAACATTGAACCACAAAATTTATGAGTAGCTAGCTATTGCATGATGGATCATTTTGAAATTCAGATTTAAGATCCCAGAGAAAGAAAAGAATAATGGTTCAAAGAAGGCGCCAGTTAATGTATATTCAAATTTTTGTATAGAATTTGATTTAGTCTGAACAAGCTGAACACGAACGTTTATCAATTATTCTAAGCTTGATTAACTTCAATTCATTTCAAATAATAATGAGATTAGATTGGTACGACAAGAAATATATGAAGTGATTAGAGTAATAGTTCAGGAAAAAGATACTACAGAAGAATCTTGCTTTTGCCACCTCAGGGACCCTATCTACTAGTAGTGCAGTGCAAAATTTGATGGAAGATAGTGAACTTTCTTTTTCCTGTTCTCTCCATCTAGAAAGTAATTAATGCATTTTCCTTTCATTGTGGACACTATAATATTGGCCGTATCATAATAAAGTAGAGTCAAGGTTAATCTTTGTGATTCATTGAGTGAAAATTATTACATCTGAAGTCGGGAACGGTCCCAAAAGTTATGATAATCTAGCTTTTATCATGTTCAACAAGCCATTGTTCAATGAACTCAGTTAACATGAATATTGAAAACTATTTATGCAATTATACAAATAGTATATGCGGATGAACATAATTGTGTTAGAGATTGGTATTCATTGATAAATATCTTAGCTTGCTTGCTTCATGGGTAAGGCTCTCTTTAGTATCAAAGAGAAAAAGCGGTGTAGTCTCCTAATTATGATAGAAGTTAAGTAGAGAATCTGATTCGGTGGTTAATTCATCTTCTCAACTTATTTTCTTAATACAAGTTTTTTTTTTTTTTTTAACCCAAATAAACCTTATATATGCTTTTATATAAAGCGGATTCCCCTCTTTGGCCTTTAATTTTTATTTTTTTTCAAACTACCATTATTAATTAATTTTAAGAATAAGTATAAAAGGATAAAGTTACAAAGCTCCTGCTATTCATTTGTAAAGATAGCTGTAAAAAAATAAAATTACAAATACGTCTTTTTGTAATTACAATTGTTTTTAAAATATTTCAACTTCTTGTATAATTAAAAATAGCTTAAAACACTTTATATCATTATTAGGGAAAATGTTTGTCATTTTAAATAACAGAAAGTTATGTCATTTTAAGAGAGATACAGACACAGAAAATTTAATTTTAAATTAAAAAAAATCACCCGCTTTCTCTCTCCCATGATTTCAGTTTTTCTGTGTTTATCTCTCTCCTAAAATGACATAACTTGTGTCATTTAAAATGACAAATACTAAACCCTTATTATTATTATTATAACTGAAAATAAAGTAACGATTCGACATAATACTTGTCAGTTAATACGAATTTAACTCAGTTCAAACAAAACCATAGAAATCAAGTTTGCCTTTCCACTCCAACTTGTTAAAAGACGGTTAACTCCATTCCAATTTTTTATTGTGTTCAAATTATTTTATTTTAAAAATAAAAAACTTTTAATTATTAAAAAATATTTTAAAAATAATTTATTCTCAAACACATGCTCAAACTACGTTAAGATGACTGGCATTTTTCATCCAAAGATAAGTTATACGGTAATGGTAGACATATTTTGGCACAATAAATTGGTAGACAAGATTATTCCTGCTTATCATGAGTAGTCTCTCAAAACAAAGAATTGGGCAGGAGTTTCCAATGCGTGGTATCTTAAAACATAGTGATGCTTGAGTAGTTGGCACATAATTTGAAGTATTTAGTTCTTGTGTTGTTCTGTTAGGTTTGAATTCTTGTTGTCTTCACAATAATTAATCTTCCTTGTTTATAAAAGAGGGACAAGACCACTGATAGAATCAAAGAAAATATATACGGGTTTATCATTTCTCATAAAGTAGTATTTCTCATGTTATAGACACAATAAGTGATAGGATCCATCACTTATTAAAAAAATAAAAAGAGCATAACACAGATTTTAATGTCTCACAATATAGAAAACAATCTCCAACAATATGAGAAAATGATTTTCGAATATATATATATATATATGAAAAAAATGTGTGTCATTTTAAAGGATGTAAAGTTGTGTCATTTAAGAGAGAGAGAAAGAGATAGATAAAGGAGGAGAGAGAGTTGACAAAAAAAGTAAAGGTGTGAGTCTCATCTCTTTGTGAGAGTGAAAGGATATAAGTTGTGTCATTTAAAAAGATAAATATTTTTCCATATACATATATATATATATATATATCAGAAAACTATTTCTATTTTTACCGCGTCTTTTTCTGCCTCACAAATGTACTTCTCGGAATACACAGGCAGATGACTTATTTTTTTTCCCTATATTGGTGGGTGAAGGTTATACTTATCATTTAACACTCCTTACTACTAAATTTTAACCATTGATTTCTATCAATATGATGATTATAATTTATTGAATGACACTTATTAATTCATTATTAATTTTTAATAAATTATAATCATTAAATTAATGAAAATCAACGATTGAAATTTGGTAAGAAATATAACATTTTCCTATATATATATATATATTAAAGAAAATTAAAAAAGCCATATATATAATTTAAATAGTGTTTGGTTCAAGTTTTTTGTTGAGATCCCCGTGCATTTGAGTTTGGCACTCGATGATCTATTTGTTTGGTAGAGGAAATATAAAAATTTATCCACCAAAGTCATTTGCATTCAGAATCAAATGCAAAAATAGAAGAAATATATTGTCGAAGTTGTCCAATCTCAACGTGGTATCATATTGTTGAAGTTGTCCAATCTCAATGTGGTATTTGCATATTATCGGGCAAGTGAGAAAAAGTTGACAAAGATTCACAAAATTTAACCCAATTTTTTTGGTAAAATTTTTGCCTACCAAATTATTTTTTTTAATTTTTCTATCATATTCCTAATAATTACAATTTACCTGATAAAAAAAAAATTCTTCTACAAAACGCCCAAAATTAAAAAAGTTAAGGAAATTAACACCAGCGACAAACGCATACGTGGGCGTCTTGTTTATCAGTCATAGAATTTAGCTATTGAGTAACGGTGGGGTCGTTGGCTTTTTTTGTTATTTTGTTTTTGGAAAATAGGTTGGCATTTCTTGTTAGCACGCCACACGCAATTCATACTCCACTTTAAAGTATGTTTTACCAACTTCACTTCCCCATCCCATCATTGGGGGAAAAATTGAAAAATAACTCAAAAGTTAAAAACCATATTTAATAATTCAAAATCTCACCCATTATTTTTCTACTCTTGAATGTCCCTATATTCACTTGCAGACAATATTGTGGTGTGCTTAAACATTTTATTCTTATTCTACGATGATTAGGAGCATGCCCTTTTTTTGGTCTCGTTTTGCTGTCCTCGATTAATTCTGTTAATTGAGATTTTGCTAATTAATTACAACAAAAATATATTGGTAATTGTATCAATGACAGCATTTTTTGTGGTCCTCGATTAATTCTCTTAGAGCCTGTTTGGATCCTCTTATTTTTAAGCTAAAAACTACTTATAAGTTAAAGCTTAAATAAAGAAGTTAAAAGCTGTTTGAAAATTACATAAAAAAACTTAGCTTAAAAATTATTTAAAGGCACATATTTCAAGAAAATTATCTCTCTTTTCATCTTTATCACTCTTCATTTTAAAAAAAAAAAACACACAATTCAAGAAAAATAAATAAGAGCTTAAAAAAAAGCTCATCTTAGGAACTTTTAATTTTCAGCTTTTTTCTTCATTATAAAAAGAAGAGCTTTTCATTATAAGAGTTTTTCTCAAAACTTGTTTGGCCTAGCTTATGCTTATAAGTAGCTTCTAACTTAAAAAAAAAAATGATCCAAACATACACTAAGTGTTATATTGTAATTAGAGTTGCTTCCAACTCTTATGTAATTTTTTAACAATAATTAATTGGGATTATATTGTAGTTGTCAGCGTAATAAGAAGACAGGGAAATGGGTGTTTCGCAAGTCGGATGAATCAACCTAGTTGTGAACAAGCTGGAAATTAGTTGGATTACGAAAAAAAATTATAAAACAATCAAATTTAATAATATTATTGTCAAACATTCAATAAATGTATTAGTAGAAATTGTAAAAATATAAAATCCAAAGTAGAGAAAATGTTAAATTACGTGATGTTAGATCCAAATAAAGAATATTAATAATCACGCTTGCATATATTTATATTCATGCATTTAAAATTTGTTAGAAACGTTTAAAAATACCATCCAAACCAATTATTTGATTCAATGAATTTCTTAAAATTTATCGTATGTTACGGGTAAGAAAATCTTATGATTAATCATTTATAAATGTTATTGTTCATACAAATTATTGAGATTGAGCTAATGATGATACATATAATTTGTGAGAAGTTATATATATTTTTATGCTCTAAATATAATCTTGAGTGAAGACACATAAGTTATAAATACCAAGATTTTATATTTTTCAGTACGAATAGCTGAACGCTTTAAGGTGGATACTCTTTTATCTTCTTTTATGGTGGTTGTTTGGCGTGTTTCTTTTGAGAAAAAGGGAGGTGTGCCTGCAGAAACTTAAGGCTTTAATCAAAAGGAAATTAAGGTCGACCTAAATAAATCTAGATGTGTACAAGAGGGTGGAATCTCTTTAATTATAGAAGAATTTAGGAAATTACCATTACCTAAGTTCATAAAATGATGGGTATCTTCGACAAGATATTTAACTAATTTGATGAATAACAATAGATTATTATTAGGCGAAGTGATGCGCTCAAACTCTATTGGTTCTTTTCTATCATTCCATTAATTTCCCCCCCCAAAAAAGAAAAATCTATTGGCTCTTAATTTCTTATAGTATCTTTTAAATTCTTAAATAAAAGGCTTGTTTGAAAAACAAAACTGCTTTATTTTTTCTCGTCATTTCAAGATCATGTAATAATGGTCGCAAGCTTATGAAATCAGTAGTTTAAGCAAACTCTATTAAATATGATGTAAAGGTCAATTATGGTTCCGTAATCAAAGTGAAAACAGAAAAGAGTTTCCCATTAAATTGATCTTCTGAGCACAGCTACTAATGGTTAAAATGTACATATCACCTTTAAAAAAAAAAGCTAATATTTCGAGGCATAAAATATAGGGAATTACTTTTCTCATGTTACATAAACAAAATATTATCTCCTACACTCACATTTTTCAAATGGGTCCCACAAATTTTTTTTCTCTCACCTTTAACTCTTTTCTCTCTCATACTTTTTGTTTGAGCATGAGATAGTACTTCTCTTATACAACATAAGTATTACCCTAAAATATAAGCTGCCATCCTTTGCGTCATAACTCATAGTCGGGTTTCTCGTGATTGCCATTCACTCCAACAATTAATACACACCACCTTGCATACAAAAGTATCTTAGAATTTAGAGAAAATATAAATAAAAATAAATAAATAAACAAATCTTCTTGTTCACTTAGTGGGACTATGATCCCTCATGTATCGCGACTGTACACAATATTCCCTTCTAAGCAAAGTTGATATTATATCATATTTTTCTCTCACCCAAGCAACACTGAAATGACCAAAATACCCATGCCATGCACATCACCGTCGGTGTCATCCACCAACACAACAAGGTCAATTGCGTCAAGATATTGATAACTTTTCATGATACCCCGTGGGCGTGCACGTCACATGACCTCAAAAATGTTACGACGCTTGCGGCAAAGGAAACGACGTCGTCACTGCGACGCTACTGTGATCCTTACAACTCAATGCCTTTAGTATTCTCCACGACACCTTGCCGGAGCTCCGATTCACTGCCAACTTCTTGCCGGAATCCGTCGCCGGAAACATGGTCGTTGATGGATTCCGGCGAACCTGCCGGTTCTTGATGTCGTTGAGCTCCATCTCCGGCGGGAGCTTCATTGTCCCAAACATCAGAGAGTACCAGCGTGGCTTCATTGCCTTCTTAGCCACAACCTCCGACGCCGCAACGCTCCTGGACGAAGAATTCCGATCAATTTCCGGCGCCGTCGACGAGTCTCGTAACCTGCTATAATCCAAGGACCTGCTATTCCTCATAATGACGTGGCGAGAACCCGTGCACGTGCTGACACTGTTTGATCGGGTCACGGAGGAGAGAGACTCGGATCTTCGACGGTGGGTGAGTGATTTGGTTTGTTCCACGACGAGGTTTTTTTGGGGATTGTCGTTTTTGTCTTTGAAGGGTACGAGTTTGCCGCAGAAAATGATGTCGTCTGCGGGGCACATGTCGGAGCTGCTGCTGCTGCTGAAGCCGTTGAAAAACTCGTCGTTATCTTGTGATCGAAGAATCTTCGTGAACGACTTGTCGTCCAGGCTGGTCGAATTGTGGTTGAGTGGAAGGTCACAAAGCGACAGTGCCTCTTCTTCTTCTCCTTCTTCTTCTTGGGATTCCATATAATTGGAGTATTTGATTATACGGGCATGTTCATCTTCCATGGTTGAAGGAAATGGAAAGAAAGATGTGAAGGAAGCAATGAGAGAGATTAACTAGATGAGTTGTTTTAAAGAGAGAGGAGAAGCACTTGTTGTGTATATATATATGTGTGTGTGTGTTTTCACTGTGGTGTGCTGAAATGAAATTGAGTGAGGAAAAAACAAAGAAGGGTGCAGGGGAATAATTGTTTTCTATGAGGGTTCTTTTTTATTGTTTGGAGTATGTATAACGAAATTTATGTTTGGACTATTATGGTGCTTTCGGTTTATTTGTCGATGGCTTCTAGAATAAAATAGAAAGGAAGGAAGGTGATAGAGAAAGGCATCTAGAAAGCCCAAAATAGAGAATGAAGGGTGAACAGAGTTATGAGTATAGTGCGTTGTTCTTTTCAGCTAAAGAATAGTCCATTGTCCATACAATATTTCCAAAGGGGCAACTACTCTTGTGGCTATGCTAGTTTACTCCAATTCAAGATATTTTTCTGTTTGGCCTTCCTGTTGTTTTCTTGGTTTTTGGGCATTGGCACAGAAGAGAAGAGATTTATTGGCATTTTGACATATATGAAAAAAAATAAAGGAAGGAATAATCAAGAAGGTTGTTATTATTCATTGCCAAAGTCTACTAAAAATCTTAAATTAACCAAATCCAACCGTTTGCAAATTTAAAGCTTGCTAGAGGGGGATTACAATATGAAATTTGTGTTAAGGAAGGGTAAAGCAGGGTAATGGGATTATAATTATGCTCGGGGTAGTATTCTTCTGATGTGCAGATTATTTTGACAAAAAGAAATTGTGTAATGGTGTAGCGAATTATTGTTATAAAGGCTACACTATGATGTAGCCATTGAGTTTGCACTAAATGAATGAAACTTGTGTTGTTAGGCACAAATTTTGATTGTTATGATACCAAAATAATAATTTAAGACTTTGAGTAATTGATTAACATGAAGTACAGGAATGAGTAACTTGATTAGTAGAATTAAAATCACAAAATAAAGCAAGTACAATGTGGAGATATGAGCAAAATAACCATACTTGGATTAATTCCCTTGGGCTTCTTCGCTTCTTAGTCCTTTAGATATAGGTGCAGCAATAGTCTCCTAGGTAAAAGCAGTATGTCAAGATGCTTGCTGTTATTGGATAGATGCACTGAATCTTTGGTGTATATGATGCATTAAAGATTTATTCGTACTTGGAGGTTGTTTTTCAGTCAGTTGAGGCAATACATTTTGGCAAATCTTCTTATTGTAACCAACCATACACGCCACACCTTGAACAGGTTAAACGGAGGTCGCCCCTCTCACTAGTCATTTCTTAGTTTCCTAAGCATTCTAATAGGAATTATGTAATGCGAAGGTGCCACTAGTGGAATTCCAATCCAGGCCACATTTTCTCTCCATTGATTGGATGGATCATATGTGAAAATTGAAATAGCATTGTTCATAAATCTGTGTGATAGTACTTGTGAGCAAAGTCTTGAGAATCTTGATTGTTGGCAAAGATAGTTGCTACAGCATGTGTCCTTTGTGCACAAAATCCACGAGGCAAATAAAAAAGTGATTTGATAAATTAGAAAGTTAAACCTATGTACTATTCCATTACCATACCAACGAGGCAGGCTAATAAGTGCCCATTACTGCATGCACAACTCCTTGCCTCGAAGTAAAGTTGAAATTGTTTTGGTTAATTATGGACTTCAAACTTTAAGCCTGGAGCCCAAGTGGGAGTCCATTTTAAGTGCCTATTTTTCAAGTCTTACTTCCCTAGTAGCAAAAAAAGTAAAATAATTCATATGATAGTATTTGCCTTAATGGAAAAAAAACAGCTTGATTATATACAACCACTGCGATACACTGGATTAGGTTTATCCACGATAATACAGTTTAAAATAATCAGCTGATGAGACAGCACTATTGACAGTTTCTTTTTCTTCATTGCTAGCAGAAGCTTTGGCCCACTGCTTAAATATTTTTGCTTCTTTACTTTTCTGTTCAGATGCAAGTGTATAGGCAGGGGACAAGTTTTCCTACTACAATGTTTCTTACACGAAATTTTAAGGTTTCTTTGGTAATTCGGTTCTATATAGACAATTTGTACCGTACATATCTGCGGGAGCCAGAGTAGTAATGGCCAACAAGAATTAGACTTGGCTTAAATTAAAGCTCAGATATTGACCAAGGGTACCCTGTAGCAGAGCAAATAAGAAAAACAATTTATAAGCTGCAAAAAATGTAAATTGAGGGTGGCTGGGGGAAGATTGATGACAAGTCAGTACCAACTATTGTTACATTAATGCATCTTTTTTTATTACTAATCGGTCTAAACATGACTTTTAACTGAAAGATTGAATTTCTCTGATGTTCTACAATTGGTTTCAGTTCAATTTTAATTCGAGGCATTCAAACACAAAGGCTTTCTGTGTCATTCTGGCCCATGCTTACTACGCAGATGGATTGTCTTTTTCATTCTCACAACGAAGCACCGCCAAATAATGCACGTGATAAAGCTCAAATACCTTCTATTCAGCAATTAAAGCTGGGCGAAATTGTACACAATTTTACTTACATCACATACAATATTCAAAACGCTATCAAACTGTTATAATACCCAATTTAGTTAAAATCCATAATGCTCCTCAGTCATCACTCTATACCGCGTTCTATGTATAAGATTTGCCTTAAACAAGGGTTCCAATTCACAATTTGAACTGAATTACTACATACAAGTTCAACATAAAATCAGAGCTTTAAAAAAGGAAAAACTAATAGACTCTGCTCTTCCACCAGCAAAAATAACGAGGGGAATCATAAATTCACACTGCATTTTACCGAAGCTACATTTTTAAACATCCTAAGGTGATCATATTAATGTGACATGAAATGTACTTTATAATAATAAAAGTGCAGAACAGACAACTCCTCATAGCCAAATTAGAGAGCTATTGCACAATATCAACAGCTAAATAATCCTATAAGAAACCCTAATTTAAAAACTCTTGAGGAACAAAAGCATAGCATAGCATAATCTCTAGCCGCCGAAACCATAAAGGGTCCTGCCCTGCCTCTTCAGGGCATAGACAACGTCCATAGCAGTTACAGTCTTGCGGCGAGCATGCTCAGTGTAGGTGACAGCGTCGCGAATCACGTTCTCGAGGAAGATCTTGAGAACCCCACGTGTCTCCTCGTAGATAAGACCACTGATCCGCTTAACGCCACCACGCCTTGCGAGACGGCGAATCGCAGGCTTGGTGATTCCTTGGATGTTATCCCTCAGAACCTTACGATGTCGTTTCGCTCCTCCCTTTCCGAGACCCTTACCTCCCTTTCCTCTTCCAGACATGATGGTTGCTGTTGCTGATGTTTTCTCTCTCGAAACGAAACAAAACCGAATACGCACGCAAATGAATTACCAAATGAATGCTGAGAATGTGGAGATTATACATGTGACCACAGATTTGTGGCCGTTGGATTGCTTAGCTATCCGTGTGAATGTAGAATTTGGAAGCTGAGCCCGTTGGATTTATAATACTTGATTTCGATTGGCGGAAAGTGTGTGATGCGGATTGCGTGGGTTTGAAATTAGAAGTGCCGGGTTTTTTATTGGAAATTGTGTCTCTGAGAAAACACATTTTTTTTAGCACGAGGGATACGAATTTTGAATGAAAATGTACAAACCGCGCTTTACATGAAAATGTAACCGCGTTTTTTGTAATTTGGCAAGGTATTAATTCTTTGCGAAGAGGGAAAAAATGTATTTGAGCTTTGAAAACCAAGTCACAAGTTTGAAATTAGTAATAGCTAGAGCAAAAGTAAATTTGTCATGTTATCAAAAAAAAAAAAAAATATTTGTCAAAATATCAAACAGCAAAGGTTTTTGAATGCCAAGAATCTCATTTAAAGAAGTAAATAAATTGCTTCAAAATGATGCTTAGTAATAAATGATCATAGATATGAATCGAATTACAAATCATTGAAGCTAATTTAGTTGTGTAAAATGTTAATTGAGTTGAATTTTTTTTATTTTTTTAATACAAGTGAGAATTGAACACATAATAATCTAATACAACATATCCAAAAAAAATTCCATCAGACCAATCCTAATGATTTATAGAGCTGTTTAAACTTGTACTTAGGGGTGAAACTGGGCCGGGCCGACCTACAGGGGCCTACTTTAGGCCAGACCTAACTTAGTATATTTTGTAAAATAAGGCGAGCTTAGGCTTTGAAAAAGCTTGTTTAATATAAAGGTCGTAGGCCCACTCTCACAAGGCCTGGCCTTTAAGCCTACATGCTGACCTATATTGTACTATTTATTTTAAATAAAATAAAATAGAATAAGTATGCCTTGAAGAAAAAGACAAAAGATATAAATTTAATCAATTGCAATCTTTTATAACTTAATTATATTCGGTTATATTTTAATAGAAATCTAATTTTATTTCTTATGTAGGAGAAACCAAGATTTCAGCATGTTAGATTGTGTATATGAATGTATTAAAAGGTTTTCCAGAGAGGATTTGATGAAATAAATGTTATTTAGTTTAAGCATTTTGCTTTTGAAAGTGACTTAAATGCATATTGTACGAGTTTTGTTGTGATTCATGATTCTGTTTGGACGTTGAAATTATGATTTTTGATTAAGTAACAGGAATTTGAGTATTTTGTAAAGTTGATTCATGGTTATGCTTGGAAGTTAAAAAGTAACAGGCTAACGGGCTAGGTCAGACTATTTGTTTTTTATAAACGGGTCAAGCGAGACTAACAGTTAGACTCGTATCAGGCTTGGGTCAGGCCAAATTAAAATTTTTCGACGTAAGCTTAGACTTTTCGGGATAAAGTTTGACCCAGCCAAACCTACTTTCACCCCTACTTATACCAATCTGTTCGGTCAACATACTATTCTGTTCGGTCAACATACTATTTTCGTGAAGATTAATTTTGTCAATAATTCGCGCCTCAATTTCTAATACCCCGGCAACAAAAAGTTCCATCCCATCTATGGAATTTCACTTATGCATACCGTACAATAAATTACACATGACATGGTTTTCCATGAAATCGTTTTTAGTATGAATTTTTTTCTTTTTTGCTTTACCAAACATTGATTTATTATTTGTCTACCTGGGAAAAAAAAAACCGGTAACAAACGCCCCCTTAGTACCATAATAAGTTCCAAAACTATTCACCCATCGCACCTTAGAATGAGTGGCTGGAATTTCAATTTGCATACAGCTGGTTAAACAATCTCTAATCATACTAAATCCTAATTTCCCACCTCAATTTTGCAATATATTCAGCAGAATAGCACCCTTCTAAGGCTGTGCAAACAACTTTGGAATCACAGAACTTAAATTAAACCACTCCATTTAAATGGCCAAAAGAACCATGGCACGTTGGTAAAACTGACGCTAGTTACTTTACGATTCAAAGGCAGTGAATAGGTGCTGTAAAATCGAACGACCAAGCTCCCTTCTTGAAAATACAATTCTTGCAAGAATAAAAAATAAATAAAAAATCGCCACGCAATCGTTGTTTTCCCATTATAGCCAGCGTATTATTCAGGATTTGGATTATATAGCGCGTAATTCTTGCAAAAAAAAAAAAATACAGCTGATTACGAGAATTAAGAAACAATTAGCCATTGACAAAAATAAGAAGTGTTACATTGTTAACATTGGAGAAGCTATGATTTTATAATAATAATAATAATAATAATAATAATAATTCAAAAGAGGGTTTAAATTGGGCGAAACCCTAATCCCTAATTCTGCAATCTAACCCCCGAAACCATAAAGGGTCCTACCCTGCCTCTTGAGGGCGTAAACCACATCCATGGCGGTAACAGTCTTGCGGCGAGCATGTTCAGTGTAGGTGACAGCGTCGCGAATCACGTTCTCGAGGAAGATCTTGAGAACCCCACGTGTCTCCTCGTAGATAAGACCACTAATACGCTTGACACCACCACGCCTCGCGAGACGGCGAATCGCAGGTTTGGTGATTCCCTGAATGTTATCCCTCAGAACCTTTCGGTGACGCTTCGCTCCTCCTTTTCCCAGACCCTTCCCTCCCTTTCCTCTTCCAGACATGATATGATGGTTGCTGTTACTGTTACTGCTGGCTTCTCTCTCTCTTTCTCTCTCTCAAAATGAACTTTGAAGATGTTGGTGTTAAGGCTGTAATCTGGGGTGAGCTTATATAACATTAGACGGTACATTTGTTGCCGTTGGATTGACTTGTTATCCGTGTGAATGACTTATTTGAAGATATGGACCGTTGGATTATAAATAATTCATTAAAGAAAGTGTGTTACGGTAATTACCATGCTTTTAAATTTTCTAGTTATGCTTGGGTGATTTTTTTGGGTGGGGTTTAGATTTTGAGTATCCAGGTTAATTCCTTTTAATTAGGGGCGTGCCTTTTTAATTTAAACTTTTACTAGTAAAAAAAAATATTCACCGGTTCTGCATTTTTTTTTTTGTTTTTGAATTTTCTGAAAGTATTTTTTTTTTTTTTTTTTTTTTACTAAGGAGGGGCAAAGCCCCAAACAAAATAAAATTACACGACGAGAGATCTTAAAAGATCAACAAAAGCATCCTGAAGAAGGAGCTATAACAAAAGGAGAGGAGGATAATGATAAACAATAAGATTACTATCATTCTCAAAATGCCTAGAAGCAAACTAATGAGCACATCTGTTGTTCTCTCTGAAGGTGTGGACCCAACGAACATTCCAATTTTTAGTAAGCCACTTGTGAATATGGGAAACAACCTGAGAATTTCAGTTATTATTGCTACCTCCTTGAATAGTGCTGATTGCAATCTCTGAGTCACATTCCAACACTAATCTCCTAGCCCCAGTACCCCAAGCCATCTCTAAACCTTTGAGAATACCCCAAAGTTCTGCATCTAGATGATTACAAAAGCCTAACCTGAATGAGAATCCACCCAGAAAAGCACTATTATGATCTCTGATAAGGCCCCCACAGCTAGCATGCCTCCTATACAGGGATGAAGCATCATCTGCATTAATCTTCAACCAACCAGGATCAGGACGACACCACTTAGTAGATTGTTGGACACTAGGATTGCTGCTAAGAATGCTTCTATTCTTACCCCTAGCTTCCATTAAGTGCGCAATAAAACCAGAGATTACAAACTTGTCATTGCTTGGTCTCCGAAAGCTATCATCATGAATCTGAAGATTACGCCAATTCCATAAATGCCAGCAAGTAGTAAAGACTGTTGTAAAGATTACATCAACCCTTACTCACATTCCTGATGAGCCAAGCATGAAGAAATCATTGGGAACCCTATTGTCAAACCAATCGACCCACAGTCTTTTGGCTTGGGAACAATCACGAAGTACATGGATGAGTGCTTATTCACTGTTAGGACAATCAATGCATATATTAGGACCCCCATTCCACTTGCATGTGCGACTCCTAACTGGAAGCTTATCAAGGAACGCCAACCACACCGTAGTCTTGATTCTTTCTGGACCCTTCCAATCCCAAATCTTCTTCCAGGGAACATTTGTTTGAGGAAGCTGAAAATTCATCAAGTTCATATAGGAAACCTTAACTAATGGACACATGATTATGACACCAAACTAACCACGTAAATAGGAAATATATTATGTTGCTATGAGAATTTTGGGTATTATGCTCTTGTATGTGCTTTGATTCGAGTATATAATTATTAGGAGAAAATTAATTTGAGTTAGGAAGTTCCTCGAAATAAATTAATTAGTCACAGAAATTATGTAGGCATGAGAAAGATAATTTAGAATTACAGCCATAAGTTATTAAAAATAAAGTAAGAGACAATAAATTAATTAAAAGGATTTAATTAGTGATGGGCTGAATTATAATATAAGAGGAATTAGCATGTTGGGCCTTGTTTGGGTGAGAAGGACGCTGGCCCATAGGATGATGGGTATTAGTCAGCCAAATTTAAAAACATTGGGGCTTATTGCTCATGGGCTAATCTCAATTGATTTCATAAGTTAGTATGTTGGGCCACATCAATTGTTTTGACCTGCGGCCCAAGAGCCCTTGGAGCAGCAACCCAACCCAATTCACTTCCCAATCTGATCCAGCCTTCCCTCTTACCTGATCTCAGCGTGAAATCCCTCTCCTCTCAACGTGATTGGATGAAAATTCTCTTGGCCAGCACAACTTTATCACCTAGTGAGTCACGTCTCTGCCTTGTGCAGTGGAGAAAGATCAGAAAAAGGATTGCAGCCTAACCATGCCTAACCCCTTTTGTAAACCCCAAAATCTGCCCACCTCTAGTAGCAACCAATCGGTCTGCAGAGAGCAAGATGCATGCCTGCTCATTGGATAAAATTTCTAACTCCCTTCCTTCTTCCCTCACGCGTTCATCAGAAAAGTGATGGGCATAAATTTTGATCTTTGGTTGTGTGGATAAACTCACAGCCAACCTTCTTCTTTTCCCTCTTATACGCTGTTTGCAAGAGAACCAACATCAGCCTTCCCTTCTTGTTGCTCGCTATCTGTTTGAGAAGGAGAAACAGAGACCAATGTCATCACCCTCACCAAACCATCCAGAACCATGATCTCTCTTCCCTCTCCTCAACCGACCAAACTTGTAAAATTATTTTCTGATTCTGTTTTCTTTTATTTTCCCAAAATCGCAACATCATTGGAGTTCAAACGGAAGAACGATTTCACCTTTTTCTTGGGTTTCTGTTGCAGAAACCGTGCAACCCCTTTTGAAGCAGAAACGAAGATTCAACGTATATATCTCTTTCCTCTGTTCAGCCGTACCTTCCTCCTCAAGAAGGTAAGGTATCTTCTTGCTATATATTTTTGTCCCTGACTTCGTTAAAATTCTTAAAGACTCCTCTCGGTTTGTCCAGCTGAGGCGTTGGTGGCTGCCTAGTGGTCAAACGTGCGAGCGACTTGGTGTAGCAAGAAGCAGAAATCTGAATCCATCTCTTTCTTCCTTTCTATTCGGTCTTAAAGGTAAATCAAGGGCTGAACTTTCTAACTTTCTGTTCTGTTTTGATCTGCTCCTTACTGTAAAATCGAACCCCTGATGATTTTAGAAAATGTAGCTTATGTTAAAATTTAAAAATATTATTACCGGTTGTGAATAAAGTGCTACTGGCTTAAATTAATTAAATTTAAAACAGTACGGTTATGTCTTCTCCGAATCTGCCTGATGAGAACTCTTAGGATTCCCTCTGTTTTTGTTGTTAAAAATCTCATTTGGAAGTCACACAATCCTTAGGGTAGGACCCTTCTTGGTCGCGGGTTGTAGGGATATTTTAGGCTTGGGAAGCTTTGGTTTAATGTTTAGAAAAGCTTGAACACTATGCTGATTTTTCTGTTTGAAATTAGGTGCCATTAATTCGTGAATTGGACATTTTCGCTGCTGTTTGGAATCGGTATAGTGACGATTAAGGTAATTGTGTGAAGGCACTACTCTTCCTACTTGCTAGAAGGAGCACGAGATGAGATCGTGGCTCATTGTCTTGATATATCTATACGTATTAATATTGCTCGTTTTGACATCTTGTTAATCTTGCTATATATATATATGCTGCAAAGTCTTGTTATGATACAAATTATACGATCTTGACATACATGTTCATCATGACATTTTATTTTGTATGCTGCGTGCATCACAAAGCATAGCATTCGGGCATCAATTTCATATTGCGACAAAAAAATCATTTTTAAAAACTAAGCATATGGATGAGCATGCACCGTATAGGCATTACCTACGGTACCAAATCCTCAGAATTATCTTCCAAAGCAACAGGAATGCAAAACACTTTAGAGATTAGCTCATCATTTGGAAATTGATTCATATATTGAATATCTCAAGTACCCTGCTGAAAAATCTCTGCTAAAGTTTTATGCATATCCAAACCAGGAATGTGATTAAGAGCTAGATTGCTTAGATTGTCATCGAGGTTCAACCAATTATCTGCCTATAATTTAATAGTCTTTCCATCACCCGTCTTCCAGCCAAACAAGCTAAAAAACGATTCCAACATTCAGTATTTGTTGGTCAACAGCAGAAAATTAATTATTTCAAAACGTAAAGATCAAATTTTGCCTTTATCAATAAAATATTTTTCATATCCACATTATTTGTTATCTTAATAGGAAAACGGGAATTGACATATTAGTATAATTAGTAACAATCAAATTTATTTAACCGATTATTAAGATCATGTGCGTGACTTTAATTATGTACTAATATATTTAGGATGTATACTTAACATTAAAAAAGTACATACTTATGTACTAAAATTAAAAATACATACTTGAGCTTATTAAAAAAATAAATGCACACTTGACATTCAAAGTCAATAACATTAGAACTTCTGGTTAGAATTTGTATATAAGAAGAAGGACCTGTCATTATGTTTATAATATGGTTAAGATACTATCTTAAAATATTCGTAAACAATGCATTTATATCATCAAATTCAAAGACTGTGATGGATCCAAATGCTTATTAAAGTTTGAAACCAACCTAAAGTAATCACAATGGGATAAAGTTGTAAGCGTTTTACAATATTTGACATCAAATAATTCAAGTTTTAATAAATATCAAATTTCACTAATTTTTAATTTTTTTTTTTTAAAACAACAACAAAATAAACTATTAGAAAAGGGCTTAGAGAAAGGTGTTGCATGCAGCAGTTTTCAAAGACGTATATAACAGGTTTAACACGGTAATTAAGTCTCAAAGTTTATTTAAGATAAATTTATGGGTTTGATGTTTCTCGTTTTAAAAGATATAAGTTATGTTATTTTAGGAGAGAGATAGACACAAGGAATAGAAATTATCGGGGAGAAAGTTGATGATTTTTTAATTTGAATTTTAAATAAAAAATATTATTTTGTGTCTATCACTATCTTAAAATGACATAACTTTATGGAAATGGATCTACTTACCACCAAAAAAGTTTACCACTCTTACAATCAATTTAATTCTAGTTGATTTCCGTCAATCTAACTATTATAGTTTATTGGAAATTAATAATTAATTAATAAATATGACACAATAAATGTTATTTTTTTTTTGTAAATAATAAATGTTATTAATTTCTAATAGATTATAATCGTTAGATTGACATAATTCAACGATGATTAAATTGGTGGTAAGAGTGATAAACTTTTTTTGTGATAAGTATACTCTGCTTCTAACTTTATATAATTTAAAATGACAAATATTTTTCTTTAAATTTATATATGTTTTTATAGAATTAAAATGAAAATAGGTCAAGGTAAAAAAAATAAATTCAAGTAATTTATCAAAAGAATTATAATCACGATGATTACGAAGTGTCTAGCCTAAATGTGAATTTGAGAATGAATCTTATCGTATTAGGTGATGTGAAATTTTGTATTAATTTAACTATCACTACGCTATAAACAAGTGAAATTTTTAATTCGTGCTTTTCTTTCTAATTTTTTTACAGAGTTATTTATCTTTCTTCCTTTTTTTCTATTTTTTTCTTCTCATATTCGCAATCTCCCTCAATTCTTTCTACGAATGTGCAATAATAAATCGGACACTGGACAGCAACTGCTATAGCTTCCATTGTTCCTTCAGAAATCAGAATCAGAGCGCAATGGCCAATCCCTCCACTGCCGTTTCTGGCAGAACGCCAATAACTCACGTCGTTTTTGACATGGATGGTCTCTTGCTCGGTATTTCATCTCGAATTTCTCCCTTCCAACTTTTCAGGGTTTGAAGGATGCTATGTGCTTCCTGGCATCCCGCATTAATGAACATCTATTTTGAATTCACATTTGCATACCCATTTATCAGCAACTTGCTTATCTCTTGTCAATTTTTTTGTTGTTGTTTATTTTTTTTTATTTTTAAATGAGGCCAGCAAAGTTTAGGGGCAACTTGAACACAAGTATTATTTCCTGCCCCATGAATGTGAATCCATTTTTTTCTGTTAAATGAACACTTCCTACACTTATATCATTGCCCGATACCTCTTAGAGTCATGGGTGGCCCCTTTTTTCTTTGTTTATGGAAGGCATGGAACGATTCCATTTTTGTTGCATCATACAAGATGCTGAAGATGCTAAAAAAATGGCCAAATCCCCCAGCTGCAGTTGGGTTCCATGTTTCTTGTTGGACTTGTTAGTAATATTTACACTACAGTTTTGGGGTGTCAACTTGTTTTCCCAAGATACTTGTGCTGTATGTTTACTAGATTGTTATGTGGAGTAGTAATATTTCATCTGCTGATTTACGAATTTGATATGGGCTTGCTTCTTTTGCAGACACAGAGAAGTTCTATACTGAAGTTCAGGAAATTATACTTGCTAGATACAATAAAACCTTTGATTGGAGCCTCAAGCCAAAGATGATGGGAAAGAAAGCAATAGAAGCTGCTAGGGTCTTTGTTGAAGAGTCTGGAATTAGTGACATTCTTAGTCCTGAGCAATTTCTAGTAGAAAGAGAGGAGATGCTGCAGAAATTGTTTCCGACAAGTGAGCTGATGCCAGGTATGTGGATTGATGGAGATTTGAGACCCTTATCTAATTAACATAAAGATTAAAGAATCATGTCGCTACTAGCTATAACTGGATCTGACGTTTGAAACATGAGAGAATATTCAAACATGCTCTAGAAATCAAAAGCTTTAATCATAGTACACAATCAAAAAATAGTTGATATATTTTTATTCATGTGTCATAATAACTCACATGCGTATTTTAAACATGTATTCTACACAGAGGTGGCGATCTTCTCTGCTGTCAAGGGTTACTGAATTTTTACCCTGTTTACTTTTTTTTTAATATAAATCGGCATGAATTAATAACCAAAAGTTTGAAAGTGTGGAATGGATAAGTGATTATGCTTAAATAGATATCATTTAAGCATTTTAAAAACAATTATTGTATGTCTTATCATGTATGTGTGTCTTATTAGTAGAATACTTCATCCTATTGCCTTTATTGATGATAACTACTTGTTAAATTATGACGATGCGGCTAGTATAACTGATCATTTCACCTTTGCCCTACTTTTAGATCTGCTACCCCTTCTTTAATTTCTTTTGCCTATGAGGATTTCTCTTCTCTTCTCATTACTTCACGTTTTACCACCTATTTTTCGGATCTGTTACTTTTTTCTCCTTCTTTTGAGTAATTTCATAAAAAAATTTAGTTGGTTCTTTCTCATCTTTTCGCTCTCAGTTTTAGTAATTTACTTGTCTTTGTTCAATCATTGATTTCTTTCTCGTGGCACACATGGTGAAAACTCAAAATGATTCATTTCAATATGGATCTACTTGGGCTGAGAAGGAATTACATTGACACATTCAGCATTGCAATATATGTGGAACATTAGAACTTTTTAACTTCTTCAATATAGTTATTTGAATTCATTAAATAATCTCTACCATGATTCTGTAGCTAGATACTTCGCTATATTACTGGTATGACTGGCATCTTTAAACTCGTACATTTGACCTGATCTTACTTTGTAGTTGCTTCAAGTAGACAACTTTGGAAATGCTTACGCTGGTTTGCTTGGTCTACCTTGGAAAAACTGTTTTCCAAGGATAAGGGTGTAGAACTCCATTTTTCATGGAAATAATTTTTCCCATAACTGCTTTTCACTTTTCAATGGGGAATGTATGTATTTGTTTAGGTAAATTGTTTTCAAATATTCAAGATCTAATCTTCTTGCAAAGCATAGGTTCTCTAGGGTATCTTTTTTTTTTTTTTTTTTTTTGCTATACATGCTGCATACAATTTATGTCATTGAACTATACTCATAGATGCCACACGCTAACTCAGGAACTAGGTCAAGGATGTGAAAATATTGCTGTTAGCCTGTTACCTAAACTATTTATGATGAAGGCCTTAATCTGTAATGTTGTAAATGATACTTCACATTTAAAGTGTCGGGATTGGTACGGAATCGATTGTGTTGTATATAATTAGCTTGTCAAACTGAAAAGACCAAGTAGCTGAATAAATATTTTCATATGCAAATTCTGTGCATATGCGCTGCTACTATGTTAATATATTGATGTCCTTCTGTCCCGTTTTCATCTATCATAGGTGCTAGCCGGTTAATCAGGCATCTACATGCAAAAGGAGTTCCAATTTGTTTGGCAACTGGGTATACTTCGGCCATCTTTTGTTAATTTTTTTTAAATCGTCCTTTACTTTTGGGGGGGGGGGATCAGAAAGAAGAGATTTTATTTCATGACATGCATCTATTTTGAAGGAATTTTCTTATGCAAAGTTCTTTTGATAATTTTCCCTACAGTTCTCACAGGCGACATTTTGAATTGAAAACTCAAAGACATCGTGAAATCTTTTCTTTGATGCATCATGTTGTTGTTGGTGATGACCCTGAAGTTAAACAAGGCAAACCATCACCGGATGTATTTCTTGCAGCAGCCAAGAGATTTGAGGTATACCAATTTATGAATGTTCTACACTTGATGAAAAAATTGTCTGCAGATTAAAGGATTATATATGCCTTTTCTTTTCTTATTTTGAATTTGAGGTTAGGCTCTTTTCATTGATTGTTGTATGTCCAGCTTTATCGAGTTGTAATCATACTTAGTGATGTGGTAGTTAATGATCAATTGATGGTTAACAGGGTGGACCAGTAGATCCTTGTAACGTTCTTGTTTTCGAAGATGCGCCCTCAGGAGTTCTTGGAGCTAAGAATGCTGGGATGTAAGTGGATTGATGCATTGAATAATATTTTTTATTGTCACTTTTTAATGTAGCAGATTATAGTTCCCAAAAGGTGCCAACATTTAGTAGAATAAGTAGGTTAGTGCCAGATCTATGAGTTGCACTGTTTCAGATCCTGCATTATTACATGCACAGTATATACTATACAAAATATCTGAGGGTGCATAGTATACAAAATATCTCTTGAGTTTCACGGTATATAGTATACAAAATAAAGGCAAACCTTACCTTACATTTTTGCAAAGAGACTGTTCCTCACACTCGAATCCATGATCTCTCGTCACAAGGAACAACCTTACCGTTGCTCCAATTCTTTCAGCAATATATATATATATATATATATATATATATATATGTATGAGTAAATACCATTTTTGGTCCTCAGCAAATTTCATGATGCCCACTTTAGTCCCTAACAAATAAAAAGGCCCATTGTGGTCCCTAAGAAATTCTAAATGGACCCATTTAGTTGAAATCGGGGTCCTTCACAAATTCAAAAAAGATTCATATTAGTCCCTAAAAGGACTAAAATGGGTCCCTTTTGAGTTTTTTAGGGACCACGATGGGCCTTTTTATTTGCTAGGGACTAAAGTGGGCATCGTAAAATTTGCTGAGGACGAAAAATGGTATTTACTCTATTCTATATATATATATATCACTGGTCTGAAATTTATTAGATCTTTTATTTCTTTACTCAAACAAGTTCTTCGTCCTGACAATTATGACAGATTGCATCTTTGTAACATATATATGTTCACTAGGTTCTTTCCTTTCTATCTCCCTAGCTCTTATATGCAATAATGACTCGGTTGATATAATTATATATTTACTACCTGCATGTTTGAGGTGTAAAAAATTATAAAATATGAATATCAGAAGCCGTGTTACTGATTCCACTGTCAAATTGCTTGTAACAATTTTCATCTTACAAAAGTGAAGATTCCCGTGGTTTCTGTCTTAACCTCTGAATTAATTTTTACCTACAAACATTTTTTTTCTTCAACATTTACTAGATTATATATTATGGTTGTTCATATGAGCTCTAATTGGTAGGCTTTGAAGGTTAGAGGTAGCTACTGGCTATAATCCAACTGCTTAAAGGTTGTTTGTTTTTTTTTTTTTTTTTTGAGAAAAATTCTATTACACTATTTAGTTTACTGATGGTTAGAAGGTCTAGAGATTGTCAGATAAGGCAAAACTGGAGCTCATTCTTAAGTTGGTTGTGGGACTGTTAACTTTTCTCACAATACATGGAGAGCTATAATTCGGACTGGTGTGCAAGCAAATAATACTACTAGAAAAGAGAAAAACACAATAAGAGCAAACCGTATAGGTAACTTAAAATGGATACAATGATATATCTGGTCTTGATGTCAAGCTAAGATGTCATTTAATGTGGTCCCTCAGTCAGTTATGATGGATGATGTCTACTCTTGACCATTTCTTTCTATTCATTTCTTGCCTAAATTGCTTGTTATTTTGATTAAACACGGATACATTGTGCAATTGGAAGAAGTATTTTCATGTGCAGCTTGATAATAATTTTTGTTTACATGTCATACAGGTCTGCTGTTATGGTTCCTGATCCAAGGCTGGACAAATCTTTTCATGATGCAGCAGATCAGGTTTTGAACTCACTGTTGGATTTCAACCCTAGTGAGTGGGGTTTACCTCCATTTGAAGATAATTAAAGCTGAACTTGAGTTTCTATTGCTGTGTTTCATTTTTACTGCGGACTGACAAAGCTGCACATCTTTTGCACAACTAAATCGATAAGTAATTAATTCATCTTCATAGACTGTCAGTTACATTGTTTGACCTTTATATTCTTGTTCTTGTAATAATATTACTACAATCAATATCAGCTGAGACCTTAGAAAGTCGATATATTGTTTAAATATTTATCGTGGCATGAAACGTGATAGGATTTGATATTGCACCGTGTTGTTAAAACCGAAACACTTATTAATTATGGTTTAGATTTATAACCAAATTGACACATCACTTTGGACCTGTCAAAACAGGATTAAATAAACGTTTATTCAATTGAATTAGTTAATTATTAATATATACTTTTTTAAAAACTCAACATTTTTACATATTTCACAAATGTTTATATATATATATATATATATATATATATATATATATATATATATATTAAATCATTAAATGAGAATTATATTTTATCATGTCATCTGATTCAATTAGTTGGTTGAAATATAGTTGAGAGTTTGAACTGGTTAAGCTTGAATTGGAAATCTTGCTAGTTTATTGTTTGGTTTGCTTTTGACAACATAAACTATATACTAATTTAGTATATAATTTTTATTTTATTTTTTGGATAAACTACATATGTCCTCCACAGGAGGTGATTTTGAACATAATTGTTTTTCATGGAGAATACATGTGGTTTATCCCAAAAAATAAATAAATTATATACTAATTTTCAAATTATCTAAACTAGTCATAGGCTGCCAGTGTTTTCCAACCTGATGCATGTAATAAGTATTACCATACAATAAATTTATTTAAGTAACAATATTCTCATAACTAATATTTTTAACATTTCAGATTTAAAATCGGGGTTAATTATAAATAAATTCTCAAAAAATAATTTGCGGTGTGGTTAACTATATGAAAAAAATATTTCTTAAGTCACTTAAGATATATTTATTTCCAGTCATCTCAAAATTATGTCGTTTTGTTTATTTATTTCCTTATATTAATTGATTCATTTTTGAATGGTTATAATTCTCTTTTTCTTTCTTTTCTTTTATCACCATTGATCCATCTTTGTACGGTTATGATTTAGTGGTCGAAGATAAAGTTATCTCAAGTGACTTAAGAAATGATAAGCCCCAGCTATATTACACATACCAAGTTAAAAATAATTTCTAACACAACTTTGTTCATTCTCCGGTATGGTTTTTGGTCTGCAGATTTTAGTTTTAGCTATCGGCTAAAATATAATGGTAGTTTTTATAAGTTTGCCTGTTTTGCCTTGGAGTAAGAGAGAGTTCATGGTGGTCAAGTCATGACTCATGAACATTAATCTTTCTCATTAATCTGAAATCTCAGATTCCCCATCATCGTGTCTGCCTTTCAGTTTTCACTTAGTCATTGTTGACTTGTTGGCAGTGGTCCTTTACATTTATCTGCAGTGGTCCAAGTTGATTTAAATTGCAGGAAGAGGTTGAGCCCCCCTTTAAGTTGGAAGCTAATTTTGAGGCTCCAAATTTAAATTGGTGGTTCCATTATTACTTCTCATCTGAAACAACCAGTTCCCAAAAGTTAAGACTGGAAAAAGATGAGTAAGATCTCTAGTTGTTAGCAGTTAGCACGCCACTGTGTACTACATGAGGTAAATTTTTATTTTTATTTCAAAAAACAAATACGTACATTGGAAAGATAATTTTTTTATAAAATTTCCCTCAATGATAGTAAAAACCACATCTGTTTATATCTAAAGTCCAATAACTAGAGAAGTTTAGAGTCTATGAAATGGACGTAAAGACTTGAGGACAAACTATTTAGAGAGGATAACCATTGATGAAGGGCATTGGTGGAAACATGGCAACCAATTGCGTCTGCATGCCCGAACTTGCGGCAACCAGGAAAAGAAAGTTTAATGAAGAAAAGCTAGCTTCTGGGAAGAAGATGAGAAAGCCAAGAGCAAGATGAATAGATTATGGAACATTATTCTTTGCAGGATACTGACAGTGTAATGGTAGAAAAGATTCAAAACATGGCGATAGGATGAAGCAGGAAGTAAAATGCAAAGGATCATCCTTGGTAGCAATAAAGTTTTAGTCCCTTTTTTTTTTAAGATACAAGCACTTCAATAACTAAACATTTCTAATAGGGCATTGTTTTTCGAAGATAATCGATTTTTCCTGTTGATAGAAACAAGCTGGGTCCCATCAGCTTTAAAAAAAAAAAAGAGTTAGGCACTTTTTACAAACTGAGAGTGACATGAGATAGTTAAATTACCGTAACATAGAATCAATTTTGCCTTTCTAATATTGCCATAATGCTGAAACAACTAATACTATCACCACAGATATTTTAAAATAATTAATTAGAAATTGCTTTCTGACTTGCCACCTCAACTATTCTATATAGAAAAATATGACTGGAATTAGAAATGTCAAATTTTAACTATATAACTACTATTTTAGTACTAAAAATGTAATCTTTGATATTTTAGTAATATTAATTAACTAGAAATTAATATTTTAGTAATATCGAATTCTTACTCTACTATTTTACTGTTTCAAACGTTTCATCAAATTATAACTTGCACCTGAATGTAAGCGGAGGTAGTTATATAATCTAGGAGTAAAATTTTAGTTTAGAAATTTAAATATTGTATAAAAAAAAAGAAATTAAAATATGAAAATTAAAGATCACAGTCTTTTAATTACAATTTACAAGACTAGTAATAGAGTACTTAAATAGTAACCAGTCCAATAATAATTGGGTTATATTACACACGATCGAATTTGGTCCAATAAAGATGAGGATTCCATGAGATGCTTCTGCGGGATACTCTGCGATATGGAGATTTTGAGGCTGGATGTCTTGATTGTCTGAGAATGTGTGGGGCACATGCAAGGCACTCTAACACTTAAGTTAGGATACGAGCTATACACTTTAGTTAAGATAGAATGTATGAACATACTTGGGCTTCAATCCTCTGTTATATAATAATTGATTGTTTTGCTTATGCTGCCTTAATATGGTGGCATTTAATTATTGGTCAACTAAAGTAGTCCTTGCAAACTATCTCGTGTGCAAAATGTCTATTTATGAGTTTTGTTTTATAGATGTAGTTTAAATCAGGTGTCGGTCCCTTAGTCATTGACTATTATGGTGGTTGTAGAGCTTTGAGCTATTGATGTCGTGTGGCGATAAAATCCTAAGCTACTGATGCCGTGTCCCATGATATAATATTGACGTGGGATGATCGCATTTCTTCAGTCTTAAAGTCTTAATTATTGGACCTTTTGGATCATTCATAAATTGAGTTTTATATCCTGCGTGAAATTGTCTAGATTCGTGAGTTATTTTTTGAGCGATTATTATAAAATAAAAATCTTATAATATCTAAAGAACATTGTATATGTTATTTGAGACGTAGTAGATATAGGGTGGAGGACTTTATGAATATCGAAATGCATAAATGTCAAAGCCTAAATCATCCAATCTCTGCACTGAAACTAGCAAGGGAGCACACACAAAAGTTCCATACATCATTGTTGCTTTAATGACATGCATATTGGACCATTATATACGCTAACAAACACCACTAATTAGAGTAGGAAATGGGCTTAATCAGCATCACCCAACGTGTCATTGTGTGTATCCACAGGGAAAAGCATTTATATATATTAAGGACACCATCAACAAGTTTGATTGTCACTTTGACCTGTTTCAATTAATTGGAAATAAATTTGTTTTCTTTTTCAGTTATAGTTCTTTCTTGTTATTGAGTCTTCTTTTGAGCAAAAAGAAGAAGAAACCACCTAAATTTGCACATACAGCTTTAGGCCTCAACCAATTCATCAAAAGCTTCATATAGTCGTTATGGCTAGCCTGCTGGCTAAGGTTGGTCCTCGCCCCACCAACTGGCTTCAATTAAAACAGTTAAATTATACCAAATCTATTTTGAAAGTAATTAATTAAACAAAGCTAGGTATCCTAATCCTAATTAAGGAAAATGCATGGTTAAACCATTTTGTAAGCCCCCATTTTACCTTTTAAATTGAAAGTTGCTTTATCGACTATTGTGGGTGCGATTTTAACAACAAAATTTACATGTTCGGCTTTGACGGAACCATAATAACATTGCACTAGGATAGAATACCACCTTAATTAGAATAATGTCGATAACAGAATGCACATGTCCTTGCCTTCAAATAAATCTAACTTATCCGATAACTTTCTAGTCTTATGGCACGCATACATAGATGTTGATGGGAGTTGTGAATGACACACACACACATGTAGGTTAACCGAATGAGTGTTATTATTTGATACAAGTACTATTTGTTATTTTTTTTGGCAAAGATTTGAAGTTTTGAACCATGTTAACAATCGAATAATTCGTTTACGGTTTTAAGGGGGATCAATTCGAATTGACACGACAGAGATATATCAACATGAACACGATTTGTAAATTTTATATGTTTGCACGACACGACACAGATAACACGTAAATTGAAATTTATGAGTTCTTAACACTCACATGAATCACTTTTTATATGAGTTGACACAACACGACACAAATTGATCAAAACATTAAATAGTTAAAAAAATACAAATCAAATGCGTGTTTGCGTGCTGACACACGACACGACACAAATTTTTGCATGCTATATTTTGTCAATATAAACACAAGAAGAATTTAAATATGTGTCAATCCGAACACAAATTTTTGTACCGTATTCGTGTCGTGTTAGCGTGTAAAGAAATTTCTATATCTCCTTAAATTTTATTAATTGTAATGCATGCCAACAGAAACGTATTATGAAAACCAACATAGAGATATAGGCAATCGCATACCAATTTTGAGAAACAACCAAATTCTTTTTGAGTAGTAAAAGTAAAACGTGATCAAATAAACCATGAGCTACAAACTGAGAAAATAATGTCCTTTTATTCATACAAAGCACACAAAGGCTTCACATGTACTTCCAATTGGATTAACTCATAACCAGCATTTCTTGCTAGCGTTAATTACCACAGTTTCTACTTCTTCAACATGCACAAAACTAGATCCCTATAGTAATGATTAACCATCTGCAAGATGATCATCACTCATGCCTCTCTTGTACTTGTTGTGTGTGTACCTTTCCTTGAGTTCCCCTTGATCGGAAGTATCCGAATTCTCTTTGCCACACGTACAAAATCCCTAATTAATATATAAATGAAAATACATAACACAACCATCAAAATCAGTCACAGCCTAAAATGAAACAATTACTTTAATAGACAAAAATTACTAGAAAACTATCACCAGCATTTCTAAACCAAAAAAAAAAAAAACAATAATTGATAAAAGCTCATAATTAAGGAAGAGGGAAATTAAAGTACTAGAGTAGCAATAATAATTAAGAGTTAAAAAACAAAGACCCTCTTACTTCCAGCTAAGGTCACCAGCTAGAAGAAGATCATTCTCCATGTCTTCATAGGCAATAACGTGACCAGGAATAGCATTGGACAGATCAAGATCATCATGAATCTCCGAGTTCCCTCCGGCGTCGGAAACATCCACAAACATCTGCCGGAGAGCCTTGGCTAGACTTTGGTAGCTAGCATGGTTATGGAGGCTGATGCGTTGACAGATCGAACGACCCTCTAGAACAACAGTAACTGCAGGGACTACACTTGAGACAAGATCATCATCTTCAAGAACAGAGAAGCTTTGAAATTTGTTGCTATACTTGGCCATGCTGCTGGTGTTGTTGCTATTATTAGCATAGAAAGCCAAAGAAGAAGAATTTGAAGGTGCACCCGTAATAATCTGTCTTCTATCTTGCCATCTCCGTTTTAAGCTGGAATCTTGTCTTTGGGGGTCAAAACTGTTCATAGTATCAGAATCTAAGTTTTTAGTTGATGATGATGATGATGAGTTTGTGCTGAGTGAGCAAAAGGTAAAAGGAATAAAGATATATATATTTATATTTGTATACACTGCAAATGGTTGTGTTAATGCAGCATGGGATGGGGGGAAAAAAGAGGCCTTTGGGTCTGAATCTGATAGAAATGGATCAAAACTGAAAAGGGTTAACTTGACTGGAGTTTGGTAAAAGTTGAGATCATGAAGAGGAAGTAATATCAAAATCTGAAACCTTGTGGGGTTCCTGGGAGTGGGACACTATCTTTGATGGGGCATATGTATTTGATGAAGTTTTGTTGAAAAAATGAAATACATATAGAATGCAAGAGAGAGAGAGAGAGAGAGAGATAGCACAAATGTCGGAAGAGGTCAGATAGGTGTCTAGAACACACCCCAGCCTCGTGGCTTAGATTTCCTTTTTCAAGACCATTTAATAGAGTCCCCTAACTCTTAATTTCTCCCTGTCAAAATATCTCAGTCACTTTTCATCTCTCTGTTCCTTAAATTCACTCTATCTCCCACCATCCCTTTTTTCTTGCTTTTATTTTTTTCATTAATATATATATAAATCACAGAAAGAGAGAATTATATATAATGTTAGGCAAGTGGGCAGGGATTAATTGTAGGGAGAGCACGAGATCGAAGAGGGTGGGGATGTTTGCTTGTGATTGCAAAAAGAGGGTGTTTCCATAAATAAATATTTATATGATATTATGTCGACTATATTTGATTATAAAATAATTTTAAGACTATTAAATTATTAGAGTTGCGTTTGAATTTATGTTAGGTCTTGTTGTCAAGATCACAATAATTAATATAGTACAAATTTTATTGGGGGATGGCCATAAAATTTAATTAATGCGTCAAGAAAAAGCAAGCTTAGCTATGCACACGAGATTACACTAAAGAAAGGTTAAAACAATCTTGAAAATTGCAGTGTGCATGAGCAGTGGACACGACCGCGCTGCGGTCGCCGAACGGTTTGCTACATTGAGAAACCCAAGTACGAGTTCAATTTGCTCCATCACTCAAAACTTTCGGAACAGAATTATAATTATAATAATACACTTGCCATCACTTAATTAGCTACATATTATCACTGTAAACTTTTATAATGAAAATATCTACTTCTCTTTTTGATTAATTACATATCCCTATTTCTCTTTGTGAATTTATTCATAGTTACGTTTTACATGTATTTACAGCATATAAAAAGATGAAAGGACAGAATTTGTGATCTAAACTCAAGTATAACAATTCAATTTTAGTAACACAATTTGTAAAGGTTCATGCTATCAGATTACTTAAATAGCAAAGTTATATAATTCTCTACCAACTAAATATATGATATTATGGAAATAGTAAGGTTATATATAATTTTGTAGTCATAACAATAATTGTGTACATGCTCTATATGAGTTTAATGGTTCTCCTAAACTTTCATTAAAAAACTCAATTGTGAAGCCATGTCAAATTATTAATTGTGATGGTAATTGCATTGGTATCATTTTTATATATTGCCACTTTTTGTTTAACTGGTTCACAATGTGTGCATGGGTTCATGAGAACACATTCACGATTTCAAACTCAAAAGTAGACATGCTTAGTTTCAAGGATAAGCTGGATTTGTTGACCTTAATTTGTGTGACAAATCCTATTTCATACTATAATTTAAGGAAAAATGTATATTCTTCTTATAAAATTAGATTCTTTTAAAAGAGAAATAGACACAAAGAGATGTAGGTCTCACTGAAAAAATAAAGACAAAAAAAATAAAAATATGGATATCAACTTTTTGTGTCTATATCTCTCTTAAAAAGATCTAAGTTTGTGTCCTCTAAAATGACATACACTTTTTCCATAATTTAAATAATTTTATTAAGCTTTTAAACAAAGAATAATAAATATTTGGTAAATAACGGTAATTCGACATAAAAAATATCATTTTTTCAAGTTGCCAATTAACTCATTAGCTGTCACAAGTAACATATCCCAATGAAAAAACCAACAAAGAATAATCAACGTATAAAGGGTATAAGGTAACGGTTGGGTTGATATTTTTCATACTCGAATAATTTGGTGCCGGATTAGACGGATTACGTAGATCACAAGGCCACCATTTATTTTATTTTTGTTAAATTAATAAAAGGTTTTATTAATCTCCTTTTACATAAGATAATTATCTTATGTTATAGAGAGAAAATGAGTGGCACCACTAGGGTTAGTCTAGTGGTGTGGGGTGTGTATGTTAGGAGTGTGTGTTGTGTAGGGTGTTGTGTTCAATTCCTTGTAACCTCAAAAAAAATAAAATAAAAATGAGTGAGTTCTACTATTATAAAAAAGAGAGAGTAAAAGATGGAGTGCAAAAATTGAAGTGAGAGAAAATGAGATAAGTTGTCTTATGTGAAAGAAAAGTAATATTTTTCATAAATAAAAGGCTTTAAAATGAAGCACCGCATCACCAAAAACACAAAAGAATTGCTGATGGTGGCTTTATCAACTACCCAAGCAACCTCTTGTGCTGCAACTTGGGATCTTAAATTCCTCACTTTGGGATTCAACGTTGTGTGGAGTTCGTGTCCTATGTCTCTGCAGAGACACTACATCCCATAAATTTGGGTTGTAAAAGCATCTTTTGATTGTAATTTTACCAAATAAGTAGGATTAATAGATAATGCTCTTTATTTTAACGAAGTTAGTGCATGGATTTTATATATGGTTTGTTCGTGTAAGAAGAATATCAATGGAAGCTTTGTTAAGACAAGGTGATCATACAAAAGATAATATGATAAAATGTAGAAGAAAATCTAAATTTAATTATATGAAGGATAATTTGATAAAACGTTAATGAAAACTGCAAAAATCCTTAAAAGAAATTATCGAAACAAATATTTATCTAAATAGCATTTAAAAAAATTAATTTTGTGACCCAATATAATGATATTACCAGTATCACCATTCACACCTAGTATATCAGATATTATTTTAATTATTACATTTTTTGTTTTCAATTTAATTTTATGTGTTTTAATTGACTGCTTATTTCACATTATAAGTTAATGGGTAAAGTCAATGGCGGAGCCATTTAAATGGTATAGATTTTTTAAAAAAATTTGATACAACTTTGATTTTAGTTGGATTTTTAAAAATAATACAACTTTGGCACCACCTGATTTTACCTGGTCGGATTTTTCGGCACTACCTAACTTTTGTTCCGGGCTCCGTCACTAGTAAAATGTTTGTCATTTTAAACAACACAAATTTATATCATTTTTAATGAAATTATATCGTTTTGGTGTGTTTTTACATTCTCTCTCTTCCACTTTATTTTTCTTCCTAATTTTATAAAAAAGAGAAAATGAAAACATACACCAAAATAACGTCGGCTCTGTTTGGTTACTGTTTTTTAAAACAATTTTTTAGTTTTCAGAACAAAAAAACTCGTTTGGTAAGCTTGTTTTGGAAAAAAAAAATTAAAAACTGTAATTATTTTTTTGTTTTTATAATCAAATTTATAGAACATGTCTGAGTTGTTTTTGTTTTCTGTTTTAGTTTTTAACTTTCAAAATAAAAAAAACATAGAAAACAAATGTTTCCATAATTATTCTACAAAACAGTTTTAAGAACAAAAAAATCAAAACACAATCAAACATGCCCGTAGTTTCGTTAAAAATGATATAACTTTGTGTTATTTAAAATGACAAATAATTTTTCCTTAATTAAGTTTGATATCTCATATATATATATATAAAATGTTATATTTATCTCATTTTGTATGAGAGAAACAAATTTTCTACATATACAAAAGATGGGTGGGTCCCACCTATTTTGTTTTCTCTCCTCTTACCTCTGGGTCTCACTTGTAATTTTGTTTCTATAATATGAGATGAACATTTCCTATAACATAAGAAAATCACCTATTTTGTTTTCTCTCCTCTTACCTCTGGGTCTCACTTGTAATTTTGTTTCTATAATATGAGATGAACATTTCCTATAACATAAGAAAATCACCTATTTTGTTTTCTCTCCTCTTACCTCTGGGTCTCACTTGTAATTTTGTTTCTATAATATGAGATGAACATTTCCTATAACATAAGAAAATCATTTCTCACACACACACACACACACACACACACACACACACACACACACACACACACACACACACACACACACACACACACACACACACACACACACACACACACACACACACACACACACACACACACACACACACACACACACACACACACACACACATATATATATATACACTCTCCAAGGAAAGTGAATATGTAAGCGGATTGGATGTTGGGCCTTGGAGAATGATTACAGCATTCGTGAGTCGACCAACTCACCTGGACTTCGAAGCGTTTGTATCTCTGGGCTGGGTTTTGACTAATGAATGGGCCAGAAACACACACACACAGATATATATATATACACACTCCAAGGAAAGTGAATATGTAAGCGGATTGGATGTTGGGCCTTGGAGAATGATTACAGCATTCGTGAGTCGACCAACTCACCTGGACTTCGAAGCGTTTGTATCTCTGGGCTGGGTTTTGACTAATGAATGGGCCAGAAAGCCCAGTAGGCTATCCGGAATAATCCCTTCCCATTTCCCTTCTTCCCCTTGGGCATTAAACCCTAATTTGTGCTTCGAGCTCACGCAGGGAAAACAGAAAGCCTCCGTATCCGTACCATTCTGCAATGGCTGTGAGTATCATTCCTCTTGCATACTTTAATCATCTTCTATACATTCATTTGACTTAACCCATATCCTTACTCGCTTTACTTCTGAGAAATGGTGCGAAGCCAAAGTTATTACCCTTTATCGTTGATGCATTGGATTGCACCTTGATACACGCCATGTGTTTGATGAAAAAAGAAGAAGAGTAATTTAGGGAAGGATGTGAACCAATTTTTCGCTGCGTCATTGTGTATGAATGGTCAAGTCAAGGAGTGTGATTAAATGTGCCTTATTTTCTATTTTTTTTTTCTCCTCCTTGTGTTTTGCAGACTATACCAGTTAATCCCAAGCCTTTCCTGAACAATTTGACTGGGAAACCTGTTATTGTGAAACTAAAGTGGGGAATGGAGTACAAGGGTATGGTCCCTTATTATGGCGTAATTTTTCTACTGTTAAACATCACAGTAATATGTTTCATTTCGGTGTTTATACATCAGGTAATCAAATACTGCATGGATTTTTTTTTCATCTGTTAATTGTGGTTTTTTTTTCCAGGTTATCTTGTTTCGGTTGATTCCTATATGAACTTGCAGGTGAATTTCTGAATTGACTCTTAGATGTTTTCGTCCCGAATATTAATTATTGTTTGGGGCTCTTGGCTTAGTTGCTAAAATTATTTTTAATATTTGTGAATCTCTGTGTAGCTGGCCAACACTGAGGAGTACATTGAGGGACAATTTACTGGAAATTTAGGAGAAATTTTAATCAGGTAACTTCCATCTCAACTACTTTTTTTGCTAGTGGTCTTCTTGTTTTGCTAAGCACATGTATATAAATTGTCAATATGTTTTTCAATATTTTTTAAATTGATGTCTAAATTGGAAACTAGGTTTTGTTTGTCTAGCATTTAAAAACTTTTTTTTTTCCTGAGTTTGAAGATAACATGATATATAGTTTTTGAATCATGCTGTTTGTTAAACTGAACAAAGTTATCTCAGCCTTGATGGTTCATATTGCTTTTTATTTCAGTTATGGTTAGATATATCTTAGTTATATATATAATTAAGATGGTCCGAAAATGCATTCAGATTTTTTTTTTATCAAACAGGAGTCTGATCATGTTATACCATGACTTTGTTTGTATATCAAAATTGATAACCTAAAGATTACTGACAATGGTGATTCATGTTTTTACTGTGGTCATATCATTTCTTAAATATAATAGTTAAGCCTTGTTTCATGTATTTTTAGATGTAACAATGTTCTCTACCTACGTGGAGTACCAGAGGATGAAGAAATCGAAGATGCTGCAGAAGACTAGAATGATCAAAGCTGTTAATTGTTATGACATAAATAGAACTCTATTTTTTTACTGTTTTTGTATCCTCACTTTAATGCAGGTCTTTTGTAGTTGTGTAGAGATTTGGATCAATGATGCGCACCCACTTGCGATTAGGGTGCCTATGTTCAAATTGTTCACATTCCTTGTTGCTTAATAGTCTTCATATTTTTAAAGTAGGCCTTGGAATGAGCCGAGCTGTTTGTGAATCTGCTTGGGCTCACTTAGTTAATAACTCGGAAGTTTGAACCTTTGTCCCTTTTTTAAATGAGCCTGAGAATTTTATAGCTGATATCCCATTAAAGGCACCTCTAAAGTTATGCTATTAAAAGAAATATACTCGCCCAAGAACACTACTTGCATGCAGGAACCACATTTGGTGCATGAAGTTAGCAATTGTAATTGCTGCTATATTTCTTTGGTTTTCAACTCCTATCACTTGGGGATGCCTGAGAAAGGAGAACAAATATTTCGATTTTAAGGTGTGCTTTTCATTGAGATAGACGCTTCTTGTTATTTAAGAATTTGTTGGGAGGGATTTTAGGGATTTCATAGTAGCAGTAGATTTTTGCTTGACAGGTCGTAAGTAGTGGATAGGTAATTTATTGGGTTCCATGCAAAACTTGGGCTGAAAATTTAACTTTTTGAGTTTCAAGGAATGAATGATAAGTTTAGTATTTTCTTAAAACTAATGGTAAATAGTTTACTGATAAATAGGTCAATCTATTCTCTCGCAATACAGGTAGGAATTCCTCCTAACAGGGAGACCAAACTTGAAATCACATGATCAAAGTACTCGAGTCTTTTTTTTATCGGAACTGGTATTTATTGGTTAAGGAAACAAGTTTTGATAATTTTTTTGAAGAGAGTTTCCAGAGTATCAGAACCGTGGGCGACGTTTTCAGCTTGTTTGTTGCTTTTCAAGTCTGCAGCAACTAAAGTTCTTTACTATGATGATAAATTTCAGGATTTCGGAACTGTAAGTTTACATTTCATTCCCACTATAGGCGGAAATTTCAGTCTTTCAGATATCAGCTTTTCTGGTTCCAAAGGCACGCCTAGTGTAAAGGGAAATCTCGCTTTGGTTGTTTTCTCCCTGAATAATGTTATATTCTCTTAAGTATTATTATGAAAAATAAAAGATATTTAAAAAGGAAATACGAAACATAAATTCTGAATTAATTAAACCCTTTTAAGAACTTGCTTAAGAGTAAAAAAGGGGAATTTTATATAAAAATCATAAAATAAGATTTTGTCCTATTGATGGGGATATTAAAACTGTTATAGCCATTTTTTACGTTCAATGTACTATACCAACAGAGAAATACAAAGTTGAATATAGTAAAACAAGAAGTTGAAAGTTTTCCTTGAAATTTTCCGTGGGCTTATCACGGTAAATTGCCTACCCCCTCTGTACTACGAAATGTAATTGATCATGAATTATAAAAAATAAGTAATATATATATATATATATAAAGAGAAAAATGTTTGTCCTTTTAAAAGGACATATAGTCGTGTCATTTTAAATGAAAAAAAGATACAACCTAGTATTTTTTTAAATATAAAATTTAAAAAAATTACTCATTTTCTCTCCCATGATTTCATTGTGTGTCTTTCTCTCACTTAAAATGACATATATGGATAGGATATTGTGACACCCAAGTTATGTTACACCCATGTGACACCCAGTCGATCTCACCGTTAGATCGCTTATGTTGATCCAACGGTTATATTTATTTCCATCTTTGTATGGTCATGATTTCTCAAATTTAAAGTGAAAACATTATATATGGTTTGATGTTTGTCCTTTTAAAAGGACATATAGTCGTGTCATTTTAAATGAAAAAAAGATACAACCTAGTATTTTTTTAAATATAAAATTTAAAAAATTACTCATTTTCTCTCCCATGATTTCACTGCGTGTCTTTCTCTCACTTAAAATGACATATATATATGTATATCTATATGGTTTGATGTTTGTCATTTTAAATGACATAAGTTATGTCATTTTAAGAGAGAGATAGACCACAAAGAATAAAAATTGGAAATCATGGGAGAGAAAGTGGTTTTTTTTTTTAATTTAAATTTTAAATACAAAAATTTATTTTGTTTTTCTCTTTCTTAAAATGACATAACTTTATGTCATTTAAAATGACAAATACTTTTCCCATATATATATATATATATGAATTATTTTATTAAAAAATTACTGTTAATTTTTATACTGTCGTTTTAAACATACACTCATAATTATTCAGATATAATTTTTTCTTTCTAATTTTACCCCCCGAAAAAAAGAATTATTATTGCTAAGCATTTTAAATATAACATTTGTTTTTAAAAAAATATTTTATTGAAATAATATCAATGCACTATCATTTTTTATCAAAATAATTTAATTTTAATGCACTATTAATATAAAATTTGTACTATTATCCAACAATATGTTACAATATTATTTAATGAGGTTGATACATGATATAACTATTAATATAGTTTAAATTTATTAAGTAGGTAGCACATCATTGAATAATAATATAAAATATTTTTTACATGCATCACAATCAAACTCTTACCAAAATAGAAAATTTAAGTACTTCATAACAAGAAAAAGTTCTTATTATTATATCATTTACACGTGTCACTTTAAATATAAATCAAAAATATTAAAATAGAGGAAAGTAGTTCATCACAAAATTATATTAATACATCACAAAATTATATTAATACACATCAAAGTAATAATTCGAACTTAAGAAACACATAAGAATTTCTCATCAAAATAACCTTACAAAGCTATGTTTGTTTAGGATGATACTTGCCAACAACGGCATGTAAGAATTTTCATTCCATAAGGAAGCCAAATCTGCATTAAATTCTTTTTTCTTTTTCTTTTTAATTTTATTTGCGGTGGTTTGTATCTAAACCTAACACAATGTAAATCATGGTTTGGTGTGGATTAAGACTAGTTGCAAATCCCTAATATGAGTTGCAATTGTGAGCAACTTTTCGGCGATTAACTTCGAGTTTTGCTCAAATAAAGTGAAAGGGTCCACATTTTTGTGTGGTTGAAAGTTGAAACTCAATGGGATGTGCACTCAAGTGGTGCCACACTATTAATTTCAATAATGTTGGTAGGAAAGTTTGGTGGCTTCATAGGATTCTCTAGCAACTTCCATAGCTTACGATGTTATCACTGATCTGTAACGATATATGGTGCGAAGGCTTGACGGAGAATTAAAATTTATAATTTGAAAAAAAATATAATTTCAGATATCATAGCTCAAAAGTAAGATTGTGAACGTATAAAGAAGAAAAGTTAGCATGAAAAACTATTTATTCCAATTTCTGCAACATTACAGTTAAATTATAACAGATAAATTTATTTATTTTTAACCTCAGTGACCAGATTTGGATTGTTTTTGAATCTTTCAATATAATTGGTTTTCCTCGTTTTAACATTTGAAAATTTTCCTATCGTCGGTTCCATCGTAATTAAGAGATTTTTTTATTTTTTTTATTTTTATTTTTTTGAGTTGGCAGCTTAGGAGGTGGTGCTAGAAGCTTCTTAAGAGTGTGTTTCGTTGGAGGATTATGATGAGATAAATAGGCAAATGAGAAGTGGGATTGTAAGCTAACCGTGTTTGGTTGAACGGCTTCCAAATTTGCCTACCTAAATCATTATGCCAGCAACTTAATATTGCATGTCTTTTGGATCGATTTAGCCGGCCAAATTTTCTCACTTGACATGTATTGTGCTTTATCTATCTAAATGGTCACAATGAACTCGTACCAGATGACGAACGTACCCTCTGAAAACAGTATCCACACAACAAAATTTGCTACAAAAATGAAACATAGACCCCTCACCCCCAAAAAGATAAAAATAAATAAAAAAACCAATTCAGTTAGTTGATAATCATTTACATGAGAACCTCCCATCGCAGGAACTATGACAAGCGGAATGAGAATCAACGAACCTAATATCGAAACGTAATGCTGGATACCGTATACACCAATGGGAACTACACGCATTGACTACTTCCTCGTGCCTCGCCGTTTTCCGCGGCGGCTGCCGGCTGCTCTGCCGTCGGCACAGTCGTAGCCTGGCCATTGGTGCTGGGGACCAAACTCTTGGGGACTCCTTCAGAGTCTTTGCGCTTCTTCGCTACCTGATCCTTAGACGGTGGAAGTGGTGGAACCTACTCGCGGTGGACCATGCCACTCATCAAATTTTTTTAAAAACAGGGTTATTTTCGTAATAGTAACTTTTTTTTCCATCTATATTTTACCTACACTCAAACATAGACTTTATAAAAGTTACCTAATTTTCCCGTCCAAATTTTTTCCAATCAAACAATTTTTTTTACATTTTCCTACCAAACTCACTTCCTAACCATTTCCCTACGAATAACATTTCTCTATTATTCATAAAATTTCTCTTCAACCAAACCCCCCTAAACAAATAAATATATGCTCCATAGTATATGATAACTTATAGAAGAAATGATTGTGCTAGATACCCAAGTTGACAACTACTAAAAACCAAAAATCACAGACAAGGCGGCATCTTCGTCACGATTTAGATTTTCTATCAAAATGTATGACTTTATACACAAGACTTAAATGTTTCGTATTATGGATTCATGATAATCATTGTAGACGAAATTGATCAAATTCCCCACCAAAAAAACAGAAATTGATCAAATTGTTGAACTAAACTAAATATGGTTGATTACCAATGCTCAATTGCGGCATTACCTACTCGATTAATAATTGCCATAATTACAACTGCTGAATAATAAGATTGTAAGGTTTAGCTAACAACTATAATTTGTTAAAAAAATTAAATATAATATAATTTTTTATTATTTTAAATGTTTTATTTTCATTTAATAATTTTTATTTTTAATTATTTAATCAGTATTTTAAGATAGTCCTCTCATCTACGGATCTGGATCCTCTAATGTGAAAAATCACATGACCATATCATGTGGAAAATCATAATCATACAAAGGTAGATCAATGGTAATAAAAGAGAAGAGAAAAAATATATTAAAATAGATAGTTACAAAATCATAACAGTTGATTTATCTTTGTGTGGTTGTGATCTTCTCACATGACCATATCATGTTTTTTGTTCAGCATCCATTTCCCTCATCTAGTCACCTAAACTTGGAGAACTACATATTAGGGTGGTAATTAACTACTTGACATGCTGACGTGACATAAATATGGTATAAGATTTTTGTGTTCAAGTTAGTCCGCATTTACACTCGTGTCGTGTTC